ATCGAACCTACTCCTCTTCCCAGTACAGATGTATGGAATCAACCTGATGGGCTACGACCACATTATTCGGACCAGACCAACGCCTTCATTGACAATGCCCCCATCCCATCGCCGGATATGGCGGAGGAAGAGACACTTATGGATGAACTGGTGGAAACCCATCTCCCTGAGCCACACCAACATGTTGCTGCCCCGCCTCCTGATGTTTTACCTGCACCTTCGAAGCTTTCTACCAGAACACCATCACCGCCGAATCGCAAACAGAAAGCCAAATCCGCTCCAAAGGCGCCTGCCAAGCGTCGTCGCCGACGTGACCAATCCCGATCCCGCTCCTTGAGCCCACTGTCACTCTGGACCTCCGAAGACAAACAGAAACTACGCACTCTGAAGGCTGACGAGAAGTCTCGATTTTCCTGGAAGGTGATCTCGACCAAGATGGGCAAGTCTGAGGAAGATGTTCGTTCTATGTGGAATAAGATCAAGGACAAACTTGGCTGACCAACGACATATGCGAACCAAACAAAAAAGGCAGTTTGCGGCACGGTATTACGGCTCCACCAACCAGTTGGCTTCCTTTTGGGAATTTTTTCTCCTTGTTAATCTTTAGAACCATGGGCGCTGTTGCACCATTGACTTTTGACACGTCGTATCACACAACCCGCCAGCCATTTATTATGTCTCTCCGCATTCACCTGGACCGCTATTGCCAACTGCGAGCTATGTCCCACGAGAGGATCTCACCTACACGACGCTCACGCTCTCCAACCAGGACGTCGTCTTCCGCTATGGGCTCTTCGTCATTTCAGCACCCACCCAACCGGTCTTCGCCTCCGACACCTCACCGACCGGTTATTTTCCAGTTGGACCTGAAGCCGATGCAACAACTGGCCGTACGCAACCCTTATTACAACATCTTGACCCCCAAGGTCGCGGGCAACCTTTCTACGGCCACCTATGATAGCCTGTTCCAGACGTTCAAGGTGATCTACCCGGACTATGCTCGCAGTCATTTCGTCTCAGACCTCAAAACCGTAGTTACCGACACGTTGCTACAACGCTGGTCAATACACCTACCAGCGTCAGAGTTCTACATGATGATTGACACCGACCAAGGAGCTCAGATGCTTGACGACCTTCCTCATTCTCTTCTGGATGTTTTGAACTGGTTCTACCCGAGATGGAAAACTCATCAACATCTCGATGCTTTCACGACTCGTGAGTGTTCACCGTTGCTGCTGACACCCCATCCGGATGCACAAGACACAGGCTTTGCTGTACATGTTCAAGTGATTCCCCGTGGGCATCCATTCGTCACGGCCACCCGATACACTAAAGCTGCTGAGTGATTAGCTGTCTTGAAGGATCTCGGCAAGGCTCCCGCCTATGAGAAAAAAGACAACATTCGTTATGATGTCCACCACCACGGTTCTGAATTTCCCTTATGTCATCCTTTTCTCGTTTTCCATTGGGTGATGTTCGTTATTTATTCCTTCATCATTGACCTTCCCCACGGCTTTTTGGCTTCAGTTCAGTATTTCTCATTATCATACTCTTGTGATCGTACATGATGACTTCCAACACGGATGATCCTGCTCGATTGGTCTCACACCGTTCACCACCTACATCCACACATGGCCTTGTCTCACACCTGCCACCTGATGATCCTACCTCGGCATCCTATATTCCTCGTGCAGCGCGAATGATTCCGACCTCTACCACGGTCCACTCCGTCTTCATCAAGAAGCTGAGCTATCCTTTGTCTAACCGTTCAGATGAACTTTGGATCGTGGAAAGGACACTTGATGGTATTGAAACGTGGAAACCAGTGGAAACATTTCTGGAGAACATGCACCTCACCAACGACCAGGCGATCCTGCGTACCACAGCTAACCATTGGCGCCGATACTATGACGTACCAATTCAATCATCATCCTCCTCCCCTACGGCAACTACTGTTCCCGTTTTACCACACCCTGAACACTCCAACGTCTACGTCTCCCAGCCGTACGAAGCGATACCGGACCACCTCCATATTTTGCAGTCATGCTGGGGACGCTCTGCCCAACACCACTCTCAAGGAACCACTACCTCTTTATATTGGCCACCTTGGCGGTCTACACCACCTTCTTCCCCACCGGCAACACTACAACGTACTGTACATCTCACTCACCCCGCTGTCCCTCCTCAACAAGTGCATGGTCCACTGGATGCGAACGATATTGACCCGATGGATATGTCGGACTCAAGTGTGTAATATACCACATTATTTGTCGGCAAGAAAAAGACCTGTGCTTCACCGTCTCTTTGTGTGACCATTTACTAGGTATTCCGTTTCCCTTCCATTTCCAACACTTTGAGCTTTATTCTGTGGTCATTCCAACCCATTTTGCAGCTTGGGCTTTTCGCTTTCTCCTCGATACTTCATATTTGACGCAATGGCTCGTTCTTCTCGGCCCAATCCATATCGCGCTACATCTACGATCGAGACACCGCTTGGTACACGAACCGTTGGATGGTTTGCTGGACATCGAGGCCTTCCTGGTGATGTGAACCCTCCTCCAAACAGACCTGTTCTTATCTTGGTTGACTTCTCTCCCCTACAGGCATTGATTCACCGAAGCGAACCTGACCGTGAACACTACATGGCTCTGGCGAACTCCAATTTTAGAAATGTCAGTGGCTACGAACTTGCAGCTCTGTTTACCTGGTCACGTCAGATGGAACCAGTTGAAGCCGGCCTCATCCCAATTGCCGAACTTCGCTTCTGTATCTCCAAAAGATTGAGGTCCCAATGGGACATCCAAATTGATCCCTCGAATCTGGAGTTTCGCTATTGCGACCTGGACGGTGATACATTCCAAGTTTCCAATGATATGACGATCTTGCAGCTTCTGGAGGCATACCGACCTGAATGGCGACTTCGGCAGTATAACTCCCGCGAATCCTCTTTCCTCATTCCGGGTACCAGACAGCCTTTCGTACTACGTCTGCAATGCTACAAAATTAGCTCCGGTGTGATCCTGCCCTGATACGCTAGCCTGCCAAAAAAAGACCATGCCACAGGGTTTTCAATTCTCCCTTGACACCTCACCAACATAAAGGATTCGTTGATTTCTACTTTATTTGACTTTGAGCTGTGGCTTCTCCGTCGCAATTGAACCACTTGATTGAGGACTGGACTTCACTTTTATCATTCTTGTGATTGTTATCATTTTCGGGATTGGCTTATATTTGCTATTCTTGATGCCTCAGCCGTTGTTGCACTACTTCTCGCATTTGTGACAGTTTCACCCATGGAACACAAACGAGACGCGACCGTGGCGGGCTTGTCTTGGCCTTCGAATCCTACCCGTGGACTCGCTCCTGCCAACCCAGTTCAAGTACCAGACGCCCAGACTTCTGCACTATGTCACTCAGGCCCTCCTGACACTACGACCAACCCTACGTCGGCACCTTTGGCAACTGACAGCACGGCTCCTGACACGGGTACTATGGCCTATTCTGATACATATTCAGGACCAGCACCTCCTTGCGTCCCGTTTCCGACGGAGTCAAGTTCTGCACACAACTATCTCCATCGTGCTCAATTCTCTTCTCGCGTGGTTCACCAGATCCAATTCAAGGTCATTACCCACTCCAACAACACCAGGGAGCTTTTCATTGAAGAAATCCCCTTGCTCGGGCATTCCCGATGTCGTGACCCTGAACACTACTTTTATGGTCTTTCGGGCAACTGGGAGTGGTCCCTGCGTACAGCGGACTATTGGCGACATCATTTCGAGATCCCCCTTGTACACGGACACCATCCTTTTCACAATGTGCCCATTGAGACGACATCTCCTGCAGATGAACCGAGCCTAACCACCCGGCTCCATGAATTAGCCAAAGATCTATCTGACACCTTGAAGGCTGCTACGGCATCTGGGGAACTCGATCAGACTTGGGCGATGGTTGAACGCATGAGCTTCCACGATGCTATCGAAGTTCTTCTACAAGCTCCGAATTCCTCTTCTGACTGAGGTGATCGCCCGTTTGTACATTAGGTTATTACAGGTTCACTTTCACTGGTGTATTGCCGATTCCGCCAGCGAAGTTCTTCCAAAAATCCAACCTCGCTACATGCGAGGTGTGTGTGTACCATCTGAACAGATGTAAAACTTCTTATTGGTTTTCACTACTTTGCAGGGGGACTGGAGCCGATTTGCCTATCCAGTCCAACGAAGCTATGGCATTTCGGTGGATGAGTGGTCTGATCAACCACTTGTACCTGCAAAACTCAGTTTGAACTGTTGACCAAGCTGTTACACTGCATTGTTTCGACTCTACACGGTTGCCACAATCTGTATTGCATGCATCAGAACCTTCCTCAGATTTTCGCCGAAACCATATCGCCGACGAACTTTGGGTCTTTTTGGGAAACAATCGCCGAAACATTATTTGGGATTTCAACATGCTGGTCAAAACTCTATGGACTCTGGTTTTAACTACGTTTGACAATATCGGATGCCCTACATCGTTTTCGAGAAGTACCTCATGCGGCTCTTTTACTCATCAAATAATTTAGACTGGTTTGCATGTTTCAGGATTCAGTTCCTGCCGGATCATATAATGATCCATTCTTGTCTAGTGTGTGTACCATCTGAATAGATGCAAAACTTCTTATTACTGCAGGGGGCCGTTGGGGGACATTGTGGAAAGTCTGAACAGACGTAAAACTTCGCTGGTCCCGGGGGGGTCGGTGATCAACGAAGACACCTCCCCGGGACCCGTGTAAACGTACGTGCTGGACTTTGGTGGTGCACCTGAGGGCATTTAAGTCGCAGCTGGTGGCCGCCATAGTCCTATATATATATATATATACATACATATATATATATATATATAAATTATTCATCTTGTCCACTTGCACGTTATGGGATTCAGTTCCCGACGGATCACTCTAATGATCCAATTCTTTTCTAGTGTGCGTGCGAGTGCATGTCTCTATGCAGATGTGAAATTCACAAAACCCATGAGTGAACCCAGATCAGAGGACGGCATACCTTGGATGCCCTGACAACGTGCTTCGACTGTATCATTTTGTTACATGCGATGTTGCTCGCATTGATTGCCTTCTCAAGTTGCGTCGTTTTGCCCATGCCCATTAGTTCCCCACGCGTTCCTTTGCCTCCATCAGAGTCCAGTAGTTTGAAGAAGGACCATGCATCTGTCACATCCAAACCCAAACCTGGTTGGTGGCACCGATGCCCTTGAACAAAAATTGACTTATGTAGATTTAATCATCATCATCATCATCATCATCCCAGACAAGATGGAAAATAACAAACTGAAACTACCAAGCAGAAACTCTCAAAATAGATGCGCACAGCTGGCGTTCGAATGTGTTGATTCAGCATCTCGTAGGTGATTGCACCGGTATTGTCTGCCCCGAGCTGCGTGAACAGATATCTGATCTTTTTCAAGTGGGATTCCTGAGTGGTGTAGAAGTCATGGGACAAAATGGCACGCAAACTGTAGACAAAAGTTGTCTTGGGTCAAAATTACCAACCTCAAAATGGACGGTTCAATCACTACAAACGATTAATTTGTGGTTGGTGGGGGCCTCAATTTTGACCCATACCCAGATGGACCTGGACAAAGACACCATTGCAACCGCGTATCTTTGTTGTCCAAAATATTTTGCACAACTGCTGCCTGATCCTTCTGTGCGTTCTCAATCGCCGATTGGCAGAAAACACCTGCATGGTTCAAACTAGTGGAAACTGGATCGCAAACCATTGCATTGCATGAAACAGTCAGATTGGCCATCATGTTCGATATCTGCAATGTCCATGCCATTTCAACGCTTGAATTATACCACCGAACAAATCCGGAACCCAATCGTAATTCTCAACTGTTCGCTTCAACAACGGTTCTTACATGTTAAATGGTACTGATACGTTTTGTTCGCAAAAAGCATCATGAAATTCAATCAATTTTGGTATATAATTTATTTTTGTTTCAAACCGGAAGAAAAAGACATGTGCCAGGAAACCCCAGAATTAGCAAATAACCAATGGAACGAAACACATGTTTGAGTCAAGTGGGCGGTTTCGTTGCGCATAAAAACTTGTCGTCTTTACAACCTAGTTTGATTCAATTCAACTTTCAAATGCCAACTGCATATTCCAAACACTGTATCACTGTGATGGCATTGTTGGTACGATTGGTTTCTTTGCCCACTCCACCGCCATCACAAGCAAGGCCTGTTACCACATTTAACACAGCGAAATAGGTAAACGCAACCTGGGATGATGGTGGTGAAGCGTGCAACAACCCATATTGAATAATGCTGGGTACTGATTTTTCTTTTAAATCCAAAACAACATCGCCCCAAAAGTTTTCGTGCACAATAGGGGGCCATCGAAACAATTACATTATTGAGGATCTGGGCCACTCATGGGGTACCCCCCAGAAAAATTGTTTGGGTGCTGTTTTTAACTAAGGGTTTAATAAGGCAATAAGGCATCTGATTATTTGGGAAACCTGACATTTTCAAGGCTTTAGCATAGATATGGTTTTCTAAAGTAATTGGACCAGCTTTACCCAAAGAAAGGTGTGTTTAAAGGTGGATAAAGCTCCTCCCGAAAAAATTGGATCGAAGAAAAAACTTTCCACAATCGAGCCCCACCCCCACCATCCACAAGATACTCGATAATTTTTGGAAAAATCCCACAAACGAGGTCCATCACACTAATTGGTATCCAACATTACTGCGCATGCCAAGAGATCCTTGGCTGACCAAATCGCAGTCTGACATTCAGCCAGCCAGCGACGCAGCTTAGCAGACAGGAAGACAGACAGACAGAGACAGACCGACAGAGACAGACCCACAGAGACAGACCCACAGAGACAGACAGACAGAGACAGACAGACAGAGACAGACAGAGACAGACAGAGAAAGAGACAGAGAAAGAGAGAGAGAGAGAGAGAGAGAGAGAGAGAGAGAGAGGAGAGAGAGGGAGAGAGACGAACGGCCAGGCTGTCTGAGCAAGGTCTGCAGCTCTCTCTTCTGATCATTGGTACATGAAGGGTTATTGTACAAATTTTGATAGGTGGTGTGAAAACAGTGGTTAAGACACTTGAGGAAGAGGTCCCATTCTTGTTGAACATCATCCTGATTTTCAAATCTGTAAGGAAGGTGGGAAAACTGAGTGAAAGAACGGAAATCCCGTGATAACATGGTTTCACGTGTCCAGGTGACATTTAACAAGTCGGTCCACTCATCCTTGGTAAGCCATGAAGGAACATCCCATTTGGGGGCTGGTTTCAAACGACCTTTTTTTGTTTGCCGAACCAGTTTTCGAAATTCAACCCAAAAACCTTTGTGATCAGATAGGTGAATGTCATTGTTCATGTGAGCGTAAGTGGCGAGTTCAGAGTGAGAAACCGCTCCCCAATCAATGAAATGCTCACTATTCCACCTAGATCCATGTTCGGGATTTCCAATTAGATGGCCACCTTGGAGTCGTAAGTAATGAAAAGCTTTACTTTCTTTTGGGTCAGCGTTGAAATCACCAAGAACCATCCATGACTTGGAGTCCAGTCTGTGTTGTTCCCACCACATTCCTAACAACCGAGGAACCGCAGGGTCCGAACCAGGAGGTGAATAAATATTGATGAGCAAAGATCCAGCAATCCAAACACCAATACTTTGAATGCCCCAAACATGGTTAGAACCGGCAAATGAATGGGGAACGGATTTATGGCACAGGACGGCAACTCCACCATGACTTCTCTGGTTTCCCCACCGATCATGTCTTAAGGGACCAGGTTGGTAGAATCCATTGTATCCAAGTTTAGCACTTGTACGTACGAAGGCAGACCACTCTTTGTTTGACATATTACATTCTTGTAACACAACCACTGGGGATTCGAGGAAGGCTTCATCGTAAAGCCTCCAGGCCCCAGGGGCACCACCTGTGTTCAAAGAAAAACTTTGGTGTGTTGAGAAATGTTTGTACCAGGTCCAGGGTTGGTGGCCTCACCCACCCTGACACCTGCCCAAGCGGATCAACGCTGCTGGTCGGAGAATGTCGGCCAAGACTCACGGGAGGGGTCCGGCCGACCACGTCAGGCGTCTTTCTTTTTCTTTTCAGCTTGCCAAGCGGCACGCCGCTGGTTCCCTGCAATACGAGCTTTTTCTGTTTTGTATGAAGGGGCCAAAAGATTTTCAAGGTCACTTTGATTCCACTGGCTCATAAGTAAAATTTCACGTGCCCATTCGGGATCTCGAGTCTTAACCCTATCCCACCAATCTCGTTTCATCTTTTTGACCCAGGGGTTGTTTTTAATCCTTTCCAATCTTTCAGCACATGATAGGTTGTTGATGGCAGGCCCACCTTTACCCAATCTAGAAAGGCAAACTCGACAAAAATTCAAGCGTCCTCTATCGGTGGAGCCCTTCTCTTGCGGCATCATGATACATTGATGGGAAGCGAAAACTTCCCTCCGATATTTGTGATGATTTTTGAGCTGCTGTTTGCGAACCCCTTCTTTGGATTGTTTCTTTCCTTTGCGAGCAAGCTGGGTGATAGATCTACAGGTATGTTCGGGATGAAAGTTTTCACGGTGATACTTAATTGCCCTTTTACGGTCTTGGTGTGGCAACGCACTTAAACCCTTTTTACAAATAGGACAAGTCCAATCTCTCTCACTCTCTGGAATGGCTTCCGACAGGTGAAATATTTCAGCTTTTTGGGGTACTTTGACCAGCTTCTCATCGAATCCAGGGTGCCTTGATCGCAAGTGGCCGATCTTCATTTGGGAAAGGCCTCCCGCGTTTTTATGCGACAAGTGCAATGTGCAAACCGGGCACACCCATTCGTGCTTTTCACTATATACCGAACTGTCAACACTTTGTTTTCCCCAAAGTCGTTTCAAAATCGTTTTGGGTCTGTGGAAGTTACGAACCTTTCTGGATCCATCCCAAGAAAGAATAGATTTGGGCTGAGGCACCACATCAAACTCCAAGTCTTTAGTTTGAGCTTCAATAGCAACCGTGTTTGTTTGATTCGTCCCGACTTGTCCCCTATCCGAGTTACCGATGAGACGCCGCCGGGAGTCTGCAGGTTTGGGACTTTGTGCGATCGTAGGACACGGACGGAGCCATGATGATAAGCTGCCTGCTCGGTGATCTTCCTTGCCGTCCGCCGAATGTCGACTTTGAGCATCTGACGGACACGGACGAAGCCATGACGACAAACTGCCGACTTCCTCTTTTTGGCCACTTCTTTGTGAGTGACGATGGATATCGGAAGGAGTAGCGACTGGCTGAAAGCAGGAGGCTAAACTTGGCGACTTTTCAGATAAAATTGATTTCTCAGATACTGATTTGACTCCTCCAAGAAATGATGGTTCGATAATGGCATCTTCATTGGTAAGATCAAACCAGTGTTCAGGCATTGTGGCCGCAGGGTCCAAGGTGGTAAAATGTCCTTGTTTCAAAAACATAGGAATAGGAGTCTTGGAAACCTGTTTGGTAGGAGTGTAACGGTGCATGAAATGCCATTGGTTGTGAGTGAACTTAAATACCAACAAATCTCTTTGCGCCGCTTCCGCAGCGGCTTGAGCACAAAACGCATCAAACCATTTGTTGGGTCGTTTACATGTCTCCACGTATTCATCCGGATTTTGGGCCGGTTGGCCGTCTTCAGTGACGGGAGTGGCTTGTGGATCGATCCAAAATTGCTGTCTCCATTTCACCGCCGTTTGAAGTTCCATGACTGTCTTTGTTCGGAAACTGAGGGCAAGAGTTCCAACATTGGCTTCAACAGACTGAATAGACTTCTGTTGTTTGGTGGCCAAAATGGCCGCAATCACACGAAACCCGCAATCACTGGCACCTCCGAGGTCCCATTGAGGGGTTTGGTCTGGACCGCACTTTTTGTCGGTCGAACTTTCAACTGCTTTTTTTTGCTCACGTGGGCAGTAGCGCCTTTCTTGTCAGGAGATTCGACCTGTGCACGTTTAGTACCAGCTTTCGGATCACCCATAGTAGCATCTTCAGTGTCAGAACCATCAGGCACCGTAACAGCAACAGCATCTTCTTGGTTTTTGTTCAGTGTCGAATCTTTTTGTTCGGCCGACTGAGAAGTGGTTAGCCAGCCTTTGCGAACTCGTGGCAGCGGCATGGTTTGGGGTCGTTGCTTCTTTGGCGCGACCCACGGAGAGATCATGATGGAATTCTTTTCATTAAGCTGAATAATGCATCCAGGCAACGAATAATCCGGGGGAGCAGCTTTGAAGGTCCACAACCCGTACCTGAACTTTGGGGGCTGAACATCCTCAATGACCCTCCGCTTATTTTTTTCCAACATGGTCCGAAAAGTGCCGGGCAACCAATCGGATGGCACACCTTTGGCTGCCCACCGTTTTCGCAGCAAAGTGTCTTCAGTGTCATGTTTGACGCCAAGCAGTCCTAGTGATGACTTACCACTTCGACGGATCACCAAACCGACTTTGGCACTTCTGGCCATTTTTTTTGCTTCCTGAAGATAAGCAAAAGGACTGTCGTGTTTGTAAGTAATCCAAGCGATAGGTTCAATCTTTTTTTGAGTCTGGTCCAACAAAACCTTTTGGAAAACACACATTGTGCAAACCAGACATGCTCATGGCCGTGTGCACTTGCTCCGGCGGAACTTTGACAAAACCGATAATAGCTTCTTCTTTTTCAGTGGGGTTGTGGTGCCATCCATATGAACGGAAACTGACTCCATCAGCAAAAACTTGGCTCACGATTTCCGCTGGTTTCTTTTTTGCTTGTTCCCAAAGAGCAGCCGTGAGAAATCTCTTTTCACGGAGAATCACCAGACTGTCGGGGACCGTTGGTTCGGCAGTGGCATCAACCACTTTGGGTTGCTGCGGCCACATAGGTAGTTCTTTATGCAAAGGTACAACCGGAAGTTGTTTCCAAGTCCCAACCAGTTTACACCACCGAGTGACGCCACCCATTTGTTTGAATTGCTCAGAGTCGGGTTCATCAAAAAGAATCATGTTTTTTTTTGATTTTGTGAACCGCGGCAAGTTCCCGGTATTTGGCAGCATTGGCCGTAGAGGTAATAGCCAGATTTCCCGGTGGTTCTTTACCTTCATCCAAAGCATCAAGGACTGTAGTATTGTTCGTGGCTGGCTCAGGCCACCATCGGTTTTGGAGTTGAATTCGTTGTTGCGTTCTCTTTTTTCTGACAACTTCGACCCAAGGAGCTTCATCCTTCTTTGGAGTAGCCCATTCTTTGTTGTCATTCCAACGTTGTTTTTTATCAGTAGGTTGTTTAGGTTCACCCTTGTTGGCAGGTCCATTGTTTTGAGAAAACCGAAGAACCAAAGTTTTCAAATCCTGCAACAAAGAGCCTTCCCCATGAACATCACATTTCATGACAAGGGCCTTGAGCTGAGCTAGAAGCGAGTTGTCTTCTTGAAAGGTAACATGTTTTGGGGATGCGGATCTGGATCTTTCCGGTCTGTTTGCCGGATCTTGGTGATCCTTCCCTTTGCCCTTTCCCTTTGCGTTCTGGAGATCAACCACGTTGTCGCTGAGCCGGAGGGTTGGGAGATTGCGACCGTGGAGCTGCATCCGTAGTAGTAGATTCATCAAGATTGCTAAGTAGGCTCTTGAGACCTTCCAGCAACATCTTTTCTTGCCTTTTTCGAGCTGTGGTTGCAGATCCACCCGCACCACCTCTAAACATTGGTGATTTTGACTGGTTGACCGCAGGTGTCATTGCAGCCTCCTGCCTTTTTCTGAAAGTGGCTGAGGAGCCATTTTCTTCTTTATACAAAAAAGGCAGTCGAAAACAAAGTGTATCTTTTTGATTGTTCACTTGTCTCTCTTCGTGGGGCTCAATGATCCCACCGTCTGACTTGCAGTGTTTGAACACCAAGCACTTTTCAAAACGCTTCACACTTCTGCACTTCAAAGCGAAACCACGCCCTTGAGCCCAGAATCCAAGCCATTTGTTTCTGATTCTGCAAGTCAGAGCTCGGAAGTGTCTGTTTCGAATTGGTTTCATTCGTCGATTGCATATCCAACGACATGCACACAATTTTGTGTTTCCCTTGCTCTGCACGGAGTTGCACTTGGTCCCGTCCTCTGACCTTAGATGGTACATGTATCGTTTTTTCTTTTTTTTGATCGTTTCCATTTTTTCCCCATGAACAGCATGCTCAAGCTAGAGCAAATAAACGTAAAAACGAATTCCTTAGAACCATTCCCTCCAAATCAAGGAGGCATTGAAACTCAAAAGGATGAACAAGTTGAGGATCCGCAAAAGTTTTGTTGGCTTCAAACACAGGCGGGTATTTCAACCCGGTTCCATTAATTTCCCAGCATCCTGTCGAATGTCAGCTGCTGCAAGGTGCAAGCTTGTGTAGCTGCAAATGCACAGTTTTGCCATTGCCGTGCCCCACACCGACGCGACTGTGGGAGCCATTTAGGCTAGGTAAACTAATTTCATCCAAGGCACCAAAGTATTGTGGGTACAACCACATCCCCAAAGACACCACCACAAAAACCCGACAAAAACAGGGGGAACAACCACATACCCAAAATTTTGTGGGCTCCATGACAGTGTTTAGACTTGGCCGCGGTGGCCTGCACTTCGTCTTTTTTTATCTCTTGGCCGCTGTGGCCCGCTCCTTTTTTTTTGTTTTCGGTATGCACCCGTGGCCGCCGTGGCCCGCTCTTTAATTCATTTTTTTTGTTTTTCTTTTGTTTTTTTCTTGGTTTTTTGTTTTTTTCTTTCAAGTTAAACGAATTAAGATTGCTCCATTCGTGCCCATGGATCACACCACAGACCCGCTGCCACCACGTGGAGGTTGAAGCAAAGCAGCACGCAACCTGGGGTGTCGTCATCGTTGTCGGCAGCCGCAGCCCGACCAGTGCATACGGCTGGTGTATGGCCCCGATCCACGCAAGCCTGTAGGTGAAACCTTAGTGAGACATATTTTTATATGTTGATTTAATTTTCCAGTCAAAGCGGGAGTGAACAGTTTCAAACATCCCAAATAGCAGAGATAGTGCGGACCATGTGAAGCAACACATACTCGTCGTAATCATTACCCAAAATTGCCATCTAAACCACAGCAGGGGTTAGATGAACGGGCATGGGGCATGACCAAGGAAGATAAGGACAATCCCACATGAAAAATTAGGTAGGAAAATTAGATCCTCCATTGGAATGTCGAATATCCCAGATGTTTTGAATGGTGGAAGCCATGTGAGAAACAACCTCATGATTATTGTGGGGAGAGCCACTGATGCTCCATCCGAACCGAAGTTGAAGCGGGTTGAAAGGAATGGGGTGATGAAACCTGTTCGCAGGGCATTGCCACATGACGTGTTCCATGGTACCCCGAGAAATTTTACAGAAAGGACAGATATCGTTTTGATAATCTTCACTATTGTAGGCCGAATACTTAGCTGCAGGAGACATGAATGATCCCATGAGGGCCGCCCTATGGGAACCATGTAGATCCAACACCTTGCGGGTTTGGGGAAGGTCAATAGCTTCGAACCATTTGAGTTGCTGGGGGGGGGTCACCCTGAGATCTGAACCATTGGGCATCTCTTCTTTTTTTATGGTTGGACCATGCAACAGAGTGATTGATTTTAAAAAGCCTGCGCATGATATGCTGCTGAAGCTGAAGGGGTTGAATCGACCCGGGAGCTAAACTTAACACGCGTTCGTCCCCTGTGAACAGCTTCTTGTATTTGTCTGGGGGTTTCCAAACCCAGGGACCGGTTTCCTTGAAACCTAAATTTTTAAAACCCATCCGCAGCATGTTAACGGAAGTGAAGGGTTTTTTATTCCATGAGTAAGATGCTCTGTCCTTGATGATGCTACGGGCAATCCGCCCCCACCTTCGAGTGAGTACAACAATGTTGAGGAACGTGATAGATCCATAAAACATTTTTCTTAAATCCCTTGCAGCCCCTTTCCCTGTGTCAAGTGCCGCCGAGAGTAAGGAAAAGATTTCTTCCGAGGTTTTTTTGAGGGGATCCTTTCCGACCCAACCATTTGCTGCCTTACTTAGAACCAGTGATTGGAAGCTCCGAATTTTGAGGGACCAATGTATTGGGGCCAAAGCAATGAGGTGAGCCCTACACCTGGCGTCCTCTATTCTTTGATTTTCTTTGGGGGTCAAATCCCGTCGTTTGGAGGTAGTGGACACACCCAAAATAGTAACTTCATCTTTACACCAATTGGGATATAAGTTTTGAAGGGAAATACGATCCCGCTCATGCTTAGCGACAATTTGGGTTTTGTTTTCACTTTCAAGAAGTCTGACCAAGCTGACCAGATGTTGACTCTTTCAATGATAGCGTCAAGGCTGGAGGACCACATACTACGATCATCCATGTAGCACAACGTTAAAGCTGGAGCTGTGTTGGTTGCCGCAGCATCTACGTGTCGGAGCCCTGCCGAAGCCCAAAGGGCCAAACAGAACGGTGATAGGGGATCTCCCTGTGGCATCGAACAATGAGAAGCCAACGTATCATGATGAACAACGCTGTCAAATTCAAGAAACCTATTTTGGGACCCCCAAACACGTTCAAGGAGATCCGCCAACGAAGGCGCGAGTTGGAGCTGTCGCATCATTTGCGCAGTGATTTTCGGGTTCATCCGATCAAAGGCCTGGGCCCAATCAAGACTTGCTAGGTATCCTCCTCTGGTGGCATATTCGTCCTGAAGGCGTGACGCCAGCTCTTCTGCACCGTTGTACCCTTGCCATGCGCAACACGTTCATCGAAGTAAAGGTTTGCCCAATATGCAAGTTGAGAGTTTGTCGCCCACGCACTGGAATACACCCTCCAGAAGCACGATAGGACCGAAAGCGGTCGGAGGTCAGATACCTCGGCTTTTCCATTCACGATTTTGTGCGGCTTGTGGATATTGATTTGTCGAGACTGCATGAACTGCTTTGGTAGATAGGAGGTTTCCCACCATCTCAGTGAGCACCTGCGGAAGTCACCAATGGCTCCCAGAGGCATGTGCTTGAGCTCGCTACCTGAATAGCCGTCAGGCCCCATGGCCCCTTTAGCGTTTCTGCATGCTGTCCAGAGCTCGTTAAGAGTCAAAGGCTGCCATTCATGTTCCTGAGTAGGACCAAAGTCCATAGCGAGTTTGTTAGCCATGTGTCCCACATCGATGTCTGAACGTCGCCACAAATCCGTCCAATATTGATGAATGAGTGAATTGACTTCCTGTGGTTGCGAGGCTTCTCGTCCCATGTAATGCACCGTGGCTGATGCCACCGCCGAAGTTTTTCGTTTGACCCAAGAGGCCAGACCTTTTAAGGTCGGGTCATTTATGCGAACTTTCCCATTCATGCAGTCGAGTGTTCCTACGATTGGTCTCTTCAGAGGATTTCTTTGAACGTCGGTAATACCATCTTGGGCCAGGCACAGCAGCTGGTCGAGAGACAGGAGCTCATGTGTGGTGGGCCATAATTTTTGTAAAAGATTCTCGGGTGGTCTAATGTTTTGCCTAACCAGACGCCTCACCTCAAAAAGCCTGGCTAAGGAGCGTCGAAGCTTCCTTATTTTTTCTCCCGGGTTGGGATGCCCGCGTCGACAACAAGCATCCTGAAACCACTGGAAGGTTGCAATTGCCCCTTTTGCCCTACGGCCAGGCTTTTTGAGGCGTTGCGCCAGTTCATGAATGTGATCATCAGAAAGTCCCGGCTGCAACATCAGATTTTCATAGGCTCCAATAAAACATTGGTTAAGATTCTTGATGAAGAGATTCCATTCAATTTGAACGTCAACCGAATCAACTGAATCAGAAGGACGATGCATTGACTTTTCCCATGTCGCATGTGTAGGAGTAGTACGAATCTTAGTCCAACTATGTTCTAAGAGTTCCACCCATTCACAAGAATCCAACCAGGAGGGTTTAATCCAAGAGGGAGCAGGTTTGAGTCTACCCCTGATGGAACTGCAGGAGATTTGATGGACATGAACCCAAAATCCTTTGTGGTCAGAAATAGAAACGTGATCATGGTGACCTTCAAATGAAGCCACTTCGGGGGAAGAACACATGCCCCAATCAATAAATTTGGAACTATCCCATCGCGAACCGATTTCGGGGTTCCCAAGAAGACATCCTTTTTGGAGGGTTAAGAATCGAGCAGCAGAACTAACTTCCGGGTCAGCATTAAAATCCCCAACCACTACCCATTGTACCGAATCCAATTTGTTCGTCGCCCACCATTGTCCCAACAATTGAGCCGCAACCGCATCATGACCAGGTGGGGAATAAATGTTGAGGATTAATTTACCATGGATCCAGACTCCAACACTTTGAACACCCAAATGGCTTTGGGACCAAGCAAATTTATGGGATAAGGTTCGATGGATGAGCATAGCCGTACCACCAATGGTTCTAGAATTTCCCCATTTATCCGAAGAGCTGGGACCAGGTTGATAAAAACCGTTATAGCCCATTTTATTGACCATTCTTAGATACGCAGTCCATTCATCGGGTTTCATGTTGATTTCCTGCAAGCAAATCACTAAGGCTTCCGAACAATTTTCTTCCAACAACCGCCAAGCACCCGGTGCCCCACCTACGTTGATGGAAAGTAAGGAAGCAAGATCAGGGGATTTTTGTTTGGGACCCGGGAGACAGGCTTCTCCCACTCGAACCCCCGCAAATCCAGTGAGTCTACGCATTCTTGTGACTGGCCTCAGGCCTATCCAAAGGCCTGGCCAGCTTCGTCAGGCGTATCTAGTTTTTCGTTTAGCCATTGTCTCTTCATGTCTTTTCATCCCAAACCGTCGATCCGCATTGGTCTTATAGTTGGGGGCCAAAAATTCATTGAGTTGCAGTTCAGTCCAACCACTGGTTTGGAGGAATAGGGTCGCCCACTCCGGGTCACGGATCTGCACTCGTTCCCACCAATCCCTTTTCATGTTTTTAACCCAGGGGTTAGAAGTGATTCTTTCAAGTCTCTGATCACAAGTCATATTATTGATTGAAGCGCTCCCCTGTCCAAGTCTGGAAAGGCAAGTTTTACACAAATTTAAACGTCCTCGTTCGGAACTGCCTTTTTCTTGGGGCATCATAATGCAACTGTGAGTAGAAAACTTATCTTTACGATATTTTTCATGATTGTCAAGTTGTTGCACACTGACTTCATTCTTTTTCTGTTTCTTCCCCTTCTTACTCAAGTTTACAATGGAACGAACCGTATGTTTGGGGTGATGGGTAACGCAGTGGTGACTGATAGCCTCTTACGATCTTGATGGAGGAGGGTAGCCAATCCTTTTTGCACACCGGACAAGTCCAATTCCTTTCAGAATCCGGAATAATTTCAGAGAGTTCAACAGGTTTGACCTTCCTACTTTCCTTAACCAGATCCAACCGAAATTTGGGATGTCGAGTCTTTAGATGATGAATTTTGGCTTGAGATAAACCACCGGAATTTTTGTGTACGAATTTCAAACGACATACCGGACACATCCATTCCACCTTCTTTGGGATTCCAACACGAGAAGTGGGACCAATTGTCTGTTTTCCCCAAATGCGAAAAGAGGGTTTGAATTTTTTCAGGGGGCGACTTATTCGAACCCCAGGAATCCCTCCCTTTTTAATCAAATCATCAAGAACAGGCAAATCATCAACCGTGTCCCGATCATCACCATGTTGAGAGTCGTTTCTGGATCTTTTAGCTTGGGGACCATTAGACGATACCGCCTTGGGAAGAAACTATTCAGAGACCGCCGATTTACCGGCAGGACCCCTAGTTCCAGCGGAGCGCCCAGACGACTGCGTCGTCTTTTTTTCCCTTCCGGTTGAAACCAATCTGAAAGGCCCCGGGAGCTCGCCGCTGAGCTCTGAGGCCGACCATGGGAAGGCCGACCATGCGAACGCAACCTGGCGTGAAAGAAGTAGTTCTCGAGCCGCCGCCCTTGATCGCGAACGGCTGAAAGAAGGCTGCAGCAGCAGCGGTTGCAGCGCAAGCGAGGACAGCACTGTACCTAAGTGAATCCTTAGTGAAACGAGTAGTGGCACCTTAGCGTGCAGGACATGCAAGTGAAATCGCCAAACAAGGTGGATATGACACCGCTGTAGTTCTTAGAGAACATCGGATTTTTCAACCACCAGAATGGTCCAAACAGAAAGATAAATTAAAAGAGGGTCACCGGGCACCTCATTTACCATGGCGTAAATCCCACAAGGTATCCACCGTGGAACACATGTGTCCCAAAACTTTTTCTTCCGCAGGGTCCGACACCCACCCTACAGCCGCAGCAGAGGTGAATAATCGGGCAAATAAAACGCATGTTTGTTTTTGGGGCATTCCCAAAAACAAAGCTGGAAAGTACCAAGTGCAGTGCAACACATTGGACACATTTGATCTAAACCATCAACACGTGTACCACATGCCGCAGGGCTCCAGAAGCTCCCGGTCATGAGAGCACGCGCCGGTGCGCTGGACGACAGCCAGGCCCGGCACCTCTTAAGATCGATCCGCCCAAATCTGTGACGAAGTTGAGCAGGAGAAAAATTTAAGCTCACGGCCTTTGCGTCTCTGTGACCAGAGGACAAGAAACCTTCAAAACACTGAATCTTGTACATCAACCTGATGTTGTGAAGTTGAACCTCCAACTCCTGGCCAGAACCACGCCTGGCATCTAAGTTAAAAACCGTCGGCCTAAAGGCCGCAGCCCACGTCGCCGGGGGCGTCCACAAAAATGGTTCCTTTTCTTGGAACTTCAACACCTTAAGTTGTTTCCTAAGCATGGCCAAAAGAGAGTGAGGTTGATGTCTCCACACCGGCAAACCTTCCCTTTCTGTCAGCCTTTTGAAACGCGCCCAAGAACGCGTGAGAAGAACCACATTAAGGTCGCAAACAACTTGCGCAACTTGCGGAGGTGGCGGGAAGCACCATGCCCGGTTCCCCAACCCTTAATAAGTCCTGAAAAAAGCTGTTCCGACTCACGTTTATTTGGCCATCTTCCAATCCAACCATAGGCTGCCTTAGAAGAGACAAAACTCTGGTGTGCTCTTATCCTGAGATCCCAGGACAAGGGTGCAAGACTGAGAAGCTGAGCTCGAAGCCGAGCACCTTCCAGTCGATCGGTTTCAGTCTGGCTGTAGGTACGGACCACCGACACGGTGGAAGCACCTAGAACCTTAATATGTTCCTTAGCCCATTCAGGAACCCTGTCAACAAGCGCCCGTCTTTGCGCCTTAGTCTTGGCACAAATCTGCGTCTTGCTTGGGTTTTCTCTGAGACCCATCCTTTGCGACCAACACGACCAGAGATCAGTGGCTTGCATGACGGCATCTAAAGAAAAAGAATGAAAACTCCTGTCATCCATGTAAGTGAATTGTTGAATAGGGTCATGAGAAGACCGTTGAACGAACCTAACCCCAGCCGTCACCCAGATACTAAGGATCAGTGGAGCGAGAGGACACCCCTGAGGTGTGGCATGTTCCGCATCCAGCGGTGTCTCATGGGTGTGACCATCAAAGGACACCCACCTCTTTTGGTGCCAAGCCTGTCTCATGACTGCACAAAGAGAGTTAGGAAAACCTAAAGCCTGCAAGGCCACAGTGCTGATTTGGGGTTTCATCCTGTCATAAGCTTGACTCCAATCGAGTGAGGCAGCATAGCCCCCCGACAGAAGTTTTTCCTGAAGCTGTGCAGCAACTTCTTCGGCACCTAAGGCGCCTTTCCCGAAGCAAACCGCCCGGTCCAAATAAGTGGAGGTCCACTTTCTAACTTGAGGGGATTTGGCACAAGAGCTAGCATAAACACGCCCGAAAACCGACATAACGGAAATGGGACGAACCTTGCCAAGGGGCAATTGGTGATTTGAAACAGCAGATTCCTTAGGAATGCTCACTTGACGACTTTCCCTGAGTTGCAGCGGCAAGTAGCCTGTGCTCTCCCAAACCTGGGTCAATTGAAAAAGGACCTTAATGGCCTCCAGTGGGAGGTGTCGCACCTCTTCTCCATACCATTGATCGGGGCCTCCGGACCCCGAAGCATCCCTAACGGACCTCCAGAGGTCCTGATAGCCAAGAGGCTGCCAGCTAAAGGCACGAGGGTCCGGGCCCTCGCTGGTGAAACCAGCAACAAGTTGATTGACACTTTGACTAACCGGCACAGATGGCTCCTGCCAAACCTTCTGCCAAAAAGAACAAATGGCTGCGGTCACTTCAGTTCTGTGAGTGATGGGTCCGGTATCGTCCACCACAATAACACCTGGTTTACCACTTTCCTTGGTTCTGATCCAACGACCAAGCCCTTTAAGCGTGGGGTCATTGAGTCTTTTTTTCCAAGAAGCAAGCCTGGCTGTTTTGTCCTGCTGCTGGCCCTGCAGAAGATCCGTCTGCGCCCGAGACAGGATTCCACGGGCTCTGTCAGCGATTTGATTCTCAGTCCAAGTCTCCCCAAATGCCCAAAAACACGTCGGAGCAAGGAGCCATTGGGTCTGCGACCTAACTGAACAAGACGAAGCACCTCGTAGCACCTGGCAAGAGTGCGCCGCAACTTGCGCCTTTTTCCCCAGGTTTCGGGTCCTGCGCTTGAGACATGGGAACAGAAACCCATTGAAACCTGGCAGACTTCCCCTTGGCATGAAAACCAGGTTGTCTGTGAAGTTTAGTGAGCTGGGCTTTAAGGGGGCCCTCATCCGCTTCAGACAAGAGACGAGAGATGGTATGCTTAAAACAAAACCTAAGGCACTCCATGTACAGGTCCCATTGGTTTTGAACATCCTCCTGGGAGAAAACCCGGGGTGGCGACCCCACCCGGGCTCCCTCGTCTCGAAGCTGGGACATCAGCTGCTGAAAACAAATTAACTGAGTGATTTCGTCATCCCAAGTTTTGGCCAAAGCCTCCTGCCAATCCTCAGTAGGAATATTCTCAGGTTTTAACCATCTGGATGCGGGCTTGAGCCTGCCTCTCCAAAGTTCACGACCGAAGGTGGAGGAAGGAAGGAAGAACAACCCATAGTAGAAGGAAGGAAGGAAGACTTTGAAGCGTGCACCACCCCATAGTAGATGTTGCACAAAGAAGGACCTTAATTACCGGGTTCCTTAGTATTCCAGATGCTGTCTTGGCACTTAGCCAACCAGCATCGAACCTTCAAGACCTCATTGGGGCAGGAAGTTTTTTGGGCCCAACCAAATCTAGCAAGAAAAGGACAAGACGGTTTAGGAGGAAAAGGACCAAGACGGTACGGACACTCCCAAGGGACGCGCTCCCAGAATCCAACGCCCCCGCACCCCCACGGGCAAGCAGAAGAACGAGACGACGAAGGAATGCGAGAGTAAGTACCTGGACTGAACGTGGCACCCAATCCGACCGTGGCAGCGACGGGACTGGACAAGATCCACGAACGAGTGTTCTTGATATCCAAAGAAGGAAAAGTTTGATCAAAGACAGGAAGGGACTGGACCTCATGCCTGCCACATTGAGAATATTTTTTCCAAACCCAAGCGCCTTAGCCGGACATGGAGATGGCCACATCCTCACCGTCACAGTAGCACTATTACTGGCCCCTCCAGCCTTCCCAAACATTTTGTTGAGCAAGACCAATAAGAGGCTCCAGCATTTGGGACCAGGACGGACAGAAAGGTCGACCTCGACAGAGGCAACGGGATGACGCCAGACCCAAGGACGGACGGACGTGAAATCGTGAGAACGGAACCAGGAACGCAGAGGGCCGGAACAAGTCCCACCATGATTAGATCACAAGACCGAAAGCGAGCACGAAGGACCGCAGCCACCAAGCGAGTGACCCAGGCGACATCCAGGTGCAGGCTACCTCCCAAGAAAAGAGCACGCAGCCACGGACTGGAGTACCGGACACGGCGAGTTGAGACCCAAAAGGTAGCCCAGAGAGAGCTAGCGACAGTCCAGGTGGGACCACGAGCAACCCAACCATAGTTGGCTTTAGGGAGGGCAAACTGCTTGAGAAAACAAAGCTGAGTAGGAAGGAGGAAGCCACAGCAACCCAGCAAACGAGCAGTAGCCTTAGCAGCAGCAATCCGATCTTTTTCGATGCGGTGAAGTTGACGACGACCCGACCAAGAAACCGCCCCGAGGACCCGAACGGCATGAGAAATCATAATGGCATTGAATTTTTGACCCCAGACACCTCAGCCTTTTGAAGATTTTCCAGCAAACCGACAGAGTGACTCCAGCGAGACCACCCCTCTTTCAAGGTAAACAGGTCTTGGACAGAAGAGGACGTGCAGGTCCGATCGTCAAGATAGATTTGCATAGAGGAAGGACCAGCTTCCAACATAGACGAAGTAGACACCGACATGACTCCGCTTTGAACCCAAAGTGAGCAGATTATGGGACCTAACGGATCACCTTGAGGCAGGATACCGTGGGCTTTAAGAGGTTCACTATGAGTGTGATGATCATACTGAATGAATCGGTTTTGGCTGCCCCAAACCGCATTGAGGAGGCCAGTAATGTTGGGAGGCCAGCCATACTTATCAAGAAGGGAGACAGACATGTCAGTACTGATAGTATCGAATGCCTTAGAATAATCCAACGTAGGAAGAAATCCTTGTTGATGGAAGTGGTCGAAAATGGAAATGAGATTCTCGAAGATATCTTGGTTAGAAACAGCTCCAATAGAGGGATGAAGTGCAGTTTTCAACCACGCTTTGAGTCCTTTACTCTGGCATAGGGTAGAGACCCACAATCGCCACCAAACATTGAGCACAGTAATGGGGCGTGTGCCGTCCACAGGAACAGCATAATTCTTGACCTTGCCGGGTTTAGGCAGACAAACCATACGAGCCTGTTGAAGCTGAATTGGCACTTCCCCACTGCTGGCAAACTGAATAAAAAGCTGAGAAAGCGATTCGAAAGTTTCGAGCGGGAGATGTTTAATTTCATCAGCTGACCAACCATCAGGTCCAGCGGCACCAGAACCGCTTTGGGCCCGGGCTTGCAGTTCAATGCCCGTAGGGCACCGAATGTTCACAGGGGTCTCGGGGACCCGGGCTACGGCCAACAGCAAGCTAGTGCGAGAGGCCAAGTCCGGGACAGAACGAGCATGGTCTTGCCAGAAATGGACGAATTGCGGCAGCAGCCGCATGCCACGTCTGGGTGGGACGATTGTGTCTGTCAACAACCGACTGACAAAAAACCTGAGTCTTGCGTTTGATCCATTTAGACACATAACCCGAACCGGAGCGCATGCGATGACGCCAGTTTGTCAAGTTATTCTGTCGGGAAGTTTCCTCACATTTTCTTAAGTTCTCATGGACATGAGCAATGTTTTGTTGGATGAGTTGACGGCTCGGAAGCTCAGCCCGGCCAGTTAGTTTGTAGGACAGATTACGAAGTTCGATCCCATGTTGTTGAGACAAATCATCTTGAGTATAAAAACGAGAGCGAAGACGACTCAATTCATACCATTTAGCCAATTGATGGCGCAATTTTCTTTCCTGCATGGAAGTGAAGATACCTTTTGCGGGCAGGGTATCCATTTTGACTTGGGCAACCAAACCTTTGTGGCGAATCTGACCCGAAGATTGAAATTTGCTTTGGGGGGCAAAAACAAAAGCCCCCCGCACCGCATTTTGGAACGTATCCCATTTGACTTGTACAGAATTGGAAGGATCATCCAAAGTTTCACGTAAAGAAAAATTAGTACTGGCATGAGTCCATTCGATTTCTAATCTTTCACGCCACTCGCATCCGAGGTTGGGCCCTTTGGGAATAACACCCCGCGTAGGTCTATACTCAGGGGTATCAACCTTGATGGACAAAATCTTATGATCGCCAACGACATAATCCGGAGAAGAGACAGCGGAAAGCGATTCAGGGCAATTGGAACAGAACCAGTCAATTTCCCTACGACCTTGGAACCTAGTAGGGGCTCCCAAAGTGGAAAGAGAAGCATTAAGAGAGCGAACCAACTCAGCAAACTGACTATCATTGGGGCTCTCGTTGAAGTCACCACCGATGAGCCATTTTGTGGAATCCAAGACACGGGCCTCAACAAAGGCTTGAATAAGACCATTTGTAGCCCCATGGGAACAGTGTTCATAAGGAGGGGCATAGACGGACCCAACAAAAAGACCATCAACCCAAACAAAAACCCCTTGAGAATCTTCTAGATCAAAGCGGGCCCCGAATCTTTGAGGGATCCCTTGTCGAACAAATACAGCGGAACCACCAGAGCCAATGTTGATCCCTCGATTGGAACGGGGTCCATTTTGGAAATATCCATTATATCCATGAGTTTTGGCAGTACGACAAAGAGCATGAGCGCTATTGTCAGTAAACCAAGTTTCTTGAACCAGCCAACTATCGGGTTTGATTTCAGACCGCAAGGCACTCCAAGGGTCCCCTTGCGAATTAACACAGCAGACACGAAGCGGACCCGGATGCTTGGCCTGACCGATCCTAAGTCCCCTTTTGCCACCATCTCTCCATTTGGCAGCCTGGGACTTAGGGGACTTCTTTTTGGAAGACTTGCGCGCATTGGCACGCTTAGTGACAACTTTACGAGCTTTCTTGCCACAACCAGAATATCCTTCTTTGAGGCGCTTAGCCTTCCATTTCTTGGAACTCCAGCTAGGATTCTCCATTTTCAGAACAGAACACATGTGTTCTTTGGTCAATCCGGAATCATCTCAAAAATTCTGCGCAGTCAATGGTTCGTTGGCAAGCCAACTGGTCCACCAAGCTCTTTTTCGTGAAAGAACGAAACCATTGGTTTGCATCTCGTCTTGCCTTTGTTGGCAAGTCATCTCAGCTTTATGGGCCGTGCTACCGCGAAGTCTGGAGAAACAGAACTTGCAATAGTAAATGTGACCCCTGTAGGTGACAGGATCATGCTGACGCTTTTCAACCGGGATTACCTTCACGATTGTGTGGGTCCCGCAAAGTTCTTGTCTCTCCTTCTCTCTACGTTTGGTTTGGTGTGCAGAGCAACCCTGATTGCGAGTACCAACCCGGTTTTTAAAACTGAGCGTTTTGGGGGTCTCTTTGGGGTGAAATTTAGAACAATGGGCTCGAATTGCCCTGTTTCGAGCCTGTGTAGGAAGCTCCGGGAGCCCGTGATTGCACAAAGGGCAGGACCAAGCTCTTTGGCTCTCAGGCAGCAAAGGAGACATCTCGATAGTGTCCGCCACCTCGTCTTTCCGAAAAGTTTCAAGCGGAATATGCGGGTGACGACTCTTGACATGAAGAGACTTGGCTTGCATGACACCACTATAGGTTCCTTTAATAATAGGACCACATTTATGTACCGGGCAATGCCATTGCCAAGGCATCTTCTGGCTAAAACGAGGTCCTTTTCGGGGGTCAGGCTGTTTACCCCAAATTCTCCATGTCAATTTCGAGGGTGGTCGACCCTTACGAAAAACAGGCGGTTCCCAAGGCGGCTCGTCAGCCCCAGAGGAAACCGTAGCACCAGGGTGATTAATTCGTCTGGGTCCATTCTTGCCCAACCGAGGAACAATGGTGCGGACACTGGGAGTACGTGAACTACCACCGACTTTCGCAACAGCAATGCGCTTACATGTGCTGGCCAAAGCAACGGATTTCGTTGGGTTCCGAAGACTGCCGCTCTTACCAAGAAAAAGTTGATGTCAGCTGAAGCCCGGAGATTGCCATCAGCTGCTTGCAAAAAGCGCCAGCAGCATGCAGAGAACCGCACGTCAAAAACCGGCACCTATTAGTACCTTAGTGAAACTTTCCTTAGCGAGTCAGGTGCAAGCTAAGTAGTAGTGATACATGAATTCACCTTAGAATGTCCAATCTAAGATTTACGTTGGGAAATTAGAGTCAGACTCATCTTCATCAGGATAGCGAGCATCCCATAGTGTTTGAATGGTTTTTGCATGGTGCAGTGAAACCTCATGATTATGGGGATATCCGATAGTGAACCATCCAAAACGTCTTTGAAGGGGATTACATGGTTGGGGGTACCGAAGCGAGTTTTGAGGACAGTCCCAAACAACGTGTTCCGAGTCGTAAGTTATGGACGGAGGAAAACGGTTGTTTTTTCCATTTGTACATAGATCTATCTTCGTGTAGTCCACGGGCAAGCCGCCCCCATCTTCGTGTGAGAATTGTCATTGACAGGTATGTCATGGCTCCGTAGAACATCTTACGTAATTCCCTAGAAGCTCCCTTACCCGTTTTGAGGATTTGCGATAAAGCGGTGAAGAATCGATCAACAATGTGTTTTTGGGGGTTAGTACCACACCAACCGTAAGCGGCTTTACTGATGACCAGGTACTACTGTATATAGTCTTGTAGGCGATGAGGACCACGCGTGACATCATCGCAGTGGAGTGACATCCAGCGGATGTCACAGATACATGGGAGATTCATTGCATCAGCAAATACGACATGGAAAAACTCACATCAAGTTGTGTTCAACGAGGGCATCTGAAAAAGGAAATCACATAGGAGCATTCTGCACTGGCGGCTTATACCGCAGATTCAGTTGGTCTTTCCGGACGGACACCTGCCATGCTAAGATAGCTTCTGAATTTTTGTCATGTGAGGGCCAACCAAGCCGCTGTTGGAGTATGCACTCAGGAATTGCAGGACGAGTAGCTGCATTTGGTATATGGGGGCGTTCCCAAAACTCATGATGTAGAGAAGAAATGACATGACACTGTGGACACAGGCGTTGACCATCACCATCACTTCGATGGAAAGAAGCATTAGAAACATATCCTCCGGTAATGATCGCAAAAGCATGCGATGTAGTTTGAGATGCTTTGCTAGCATTGGCACATCTGGTTTCGTCATAAGCAAAGTCTTGGCATAGGACTGCGTCACGGCGATTCGACGATTGCCAACATGTCCACGAGTGTGCACGAAAACCCTCACGTAATCGGTGCAAGACCAGATCAGTGTCAAGGGAGAAATAAGAAGATCTGGGATTTAAAGAAATCACAGCGTTTGTCACAGAGTGTCTCCAGGTCCAGGTGGCTGTACGTAACCACGAGATGCGTTCCATTTGTTTGGAAATGGAACTGGAAATACTGTTTTTACACCAGGAGGGTATCTGGTAGTGTTTGACATATCGAAGGACAGCACAAAGGCAAGTCTGCAACACTCGAAAACCCATGTGGAGACCGTGGCCTCTCATAATATCCCGCAAGTGGATACATGAACGACGGGGTTCATTAAGAGCATTACGTATGGCACTTTGAAATTTGTCAAAGATGTTCTTGGGGGGAACATGCATCAACCATCCAAATTGGATTTTTGACAGGGGACCAGTGGCCATGACTAATCTTTTGTGAGTAACACTAATTGGCAAGCACGAAGCACGTTTCACAAGTGACAGGGACGCATCGATACGATCCTGCTCTTTCTTGTGCAATTTGTGTTGCTGGGAAGGCTGAAAGAAGTGACCAAGAATACAAATTTGATCAGTGATATTATCCTCGGGTGCACCAGCCTCTTTGAGAGCACGACGACCTTTTGGTCTGGCATGGAAAAATTGAGATTTGTCACTGTTTTCGGCAAGGCCAAGGAGACGGGTCCATTCGTCCCATTTAGAAAGAACAGCCATGGCATCCTCAACAGATCGGGATGACCAGGATCTGTCATCAACGAAATTGCGTTGTGTCACTGAAGGATAACATCTGGCAATTTCCCAAGAGGCCGGGCACAGAGTAGCAACCATGGCAATCAAGGACCATGGATCACCCTGTGGAAGGCTACTATTAACATGTTCGGGCTCGGGCAAGACAAAATTCTGAAATGAGATAAGTCTTTGTTGGTTGCTCCATTGGTCAAACAGCATGGTGACCATGAAAGATGGCAATTGTAATCTTTTCAACACGTGAAGGGCAAGGTCGGGGTGGCAATGGTCAAAAGCGAGCGAGAAATCTAAAGAAACTAGATACTCATCACCGGCGGCAGCAGTGATTAAAGGGATGAAAGCATGATAGATTTCCATGCCCTTTTTACCACCAATGGCTGTGTCAGGCCACCAAGTATTAATCCAACTTTGACATTCTTGACATTGCAGTCTTGAGGAGGCCCAAATACGGTACCACACTGAGAAGATTGCCAGTGGTCGCAATCCATTAATATCGCGAGCACCATCTTCACGTAAACCTTTCTGACCCTTGGGAATGTGAACTTGTGAAGCACACCTCCAAGAGTTGGGCAATTTTCCTGCCATCTCGCAAAATTGACAGAATTCGGCAAATAGTTGGTAAGCCTCAGGAGGCAATGACGCAACTTCGGAACCAGTCCAAGAGTCGGGACCAGCAGCTTTCTGATTCATTTTACAAGCGATTTCATGCAGTTGCCAATGTGACATTGGACTCCAGGCAGGTTCCTCATTTAATCCTTGCAGGAGAGAAATTTCACGGTCAATTCTCTGGAAAGACCTGTGGTCATGACTAAGCTGACGATGCCAAACTAAACGCCAGTGATCGCGAATGAGCATCAAGGAATCATTGATACAAGTAGTAGGTTCAAAGTGACTTAACTTATGAGAAATTAAACCTTGGAAGGGCGTGGAAGTGAACTTTTTGAGCCACTTGTAGCATTTTGAAGCTGATGATTGCATTTGGCATCTCCACTTTTGAATGGAATCTTTTTTGTGACGAAAACGTGCAGTCTCAAGCTTAAATAATGTGTCATCAAGTTGACGGTAAATAGCCTTTGTGCCATCAAAATGATGAGACTTGGTAATTTTTTTCCAGGAGATTTTGATATTCTACAGTACCTGTTTTTGAAGCACGTATGAATTAATCGGCTTCTTGAAGTTTGGCAGCAAAATTGCGCAATTTTCTGATTTCAAACGTATCTAGCTCATGGTCAAGTGTACCATGATCCGGCATGTGGCGAGTCACTCGGAAAGTATTTTTCCGGCTGCGGTGAAAAAAATCTGATTCATGCGATGAAGACTTGTTTTTTTGGCAAAATGAAGCGTAGTTTGAAAGTAAAGATTTAAGCGATTCCAAGCAACGTCGACATCTTTTTGTTCAAAAGACACAGGCAACACTGGTTTTGGATTCGCGTCAGCAAACTGTGTGCAAAATTCAATCCAATCATTCATTGGGACTTCGTCAGGTTTACTTAAATCAGGTGAGCGTTGGAATCTATGAGGAAACTCTCGCGACCCTTGACCATCAAGTGTGAGGTTTGCGCACAATATCTTATGGTCAGAAATGGCCTCCTCTGATAGGCAAACTGGTGTAATAATTTGAGAACACGAAGTGAGAATATAATCAATGCATCGATTACCTGACCATCGTGTAGGCAAAAACTCTTGGCTATCAGGGTTTTGAGCAGCAACAATACTGAGGCCAGGGAAGGCTTCATTGTCAAGCAATAGCTGTTCACACGGAGTGTCATTGAAGTCACCCACGCAGATCCACGGATTGGACCTTGGTGACAGCAGTTTGATTTCAAGGCAATGCTCAACAAATGGGATTCTCGGCTGTGGCGGAGGTTGGTAAACACAAGTAAAAATAATGTTCTCAACACAAGCAGAAATACTCTGAGCTTCAGGGATCGACAATTCAATCAATTTGCGAGATTTCAGCCGGACGTGTACGAGAAGCATGGCTCCCCCAAAAATTTGGCCACCGATAGAGATACCAGGGGCATGATAAACACGATAGTTGGCTTTTTCGCAAAACTGGTAAAAGTTGGCACGCTGATTTGCTTGGAAGCCATCGTCTTGGATGGCCAGAATGTCAATTTTTTCTTTACTGGCGAACTTGAGGAACTCCCAAGCACCCTCACCGCATCCAACATTGCAGGACATGAAGGACACATTGATAGGTGAAGGAATTCCAGGGCCTGGATGTGGATGGATATCACCATGGCAAGTGAGATCTTGGTTCCATGCGCCTGGACCCGCATTGAGGAATGCGGTCCAGGTGGGTTTTCACTCAGGGATCTGAAAAAACTTGTCGATTTCGCTGAATGTCATTTGCACTGCTTCAGCAAAATTTGCAGCATGCTGGGGTTCATTGACTTTTAGACGAATCCACCAACGTCGGCGCATACATCTGGTGTGGGAGTTGTCCTTGAACTTTTTCATTCTTTTGGCACAGGTTTCGACACTCTCAGGATTCTTGCCAAGTTTGCTCAAGCACTTCCTGCAATAATGCTCACAGTTTTGATGAGTATACTCACCTTTCGCATTTGTGGCTCTTTCAGGGCAGGATACTCGAACAATGTCATGTGTGCGAAATTTTTTCTTTCGGCATTTTTCCCAGTGAGCAGTTTGGATCTGACTCACTCTTGGTTTCCGCACGGTTTTATTTAGTAAATGTCGAAGTTCAACAACAGTCTTGTCAGGATGGCAATCTTCACAATGCCTTTTGATTGCACGTTTGCGATCTTGCGGTGGCAGTGACGGTAAAGCAGCTGGACATAAAGGACGTGCCCAATCTTGCTGGTCTTTTGGTAAATTGTAGGAAACATGAAAAGTTTCCACCGCAGGCTTCATGATCATGGAAACAGGTTTTTCTGGATGTCGCGACTTCCAATGTGCAAGTCTGGAACTCATTACGGAACCATATCGCCCTTCAATCTTCAGATGGCACCCAGGGCAATTCCACACGGTGTGTTTCCGCTGTAATTGCTGCATAGCATTCTTTCTGCTCCAATTTTTTGGACTTGACTTTGGCCGGAGGTCGTCCAATTCGAGGTACACCTGGTTGATAGGCAAATGGTCTCTCACCAGGTTTTGGCGGCGGTGGGCCAAATGGCCTTCTGGCTTGCAAATCGACTGCTTTTTGGGCTGATGATGCCTTCGCCGTCCCTTTTGTATTGGATAAGGACGTGGGCGGCAACCAGCTTTTGAAAGACTTGGTGGCAGTTGACCTGGTTTCATCTTTGTGTGATTTCACATGAGCTTTGATAGTGTGCAGAGTTTGCACCGTGGAGCTGCCAGGTAGCCAACTTCTATGGGACGGTTCCTTGTTTTTGGCTTTTGGCTGACACAACGTGGCTTTTGGCACTACAACTTGAGCTAGAAGGCAACCAACTTTTGAAGTAGTGCCAGCAGCCCAAACCAGATGCGGCACTCAGCGCGGACCACCTTAGTGGTCCTTAGCTGACCAAATTGCCGACTGACAATCCGTCAGCCAGCCACGGACCTTAGTGACCTGAGTCAGGTAAAGGTGATTAGTGGAAAGAGTCCATCCGAAGCGAGCAAGAAACGCGCAAGCAGGCTTATCAGGAGCATGGGCAGGGCGACGACTGCAAGACCAGCAGATGTGATCCCAGTACCCAGCAGATTGGCACCCCCAAGGGCAGAGAGAAGAATGACCGACACCGGACACGCGATCCCAAGTGGCAGGAGAGAACGTGGCACCCAGCCCAACCGAAGGAGCAGGGGCAGAAGAAAGCACCCAAGAACGAACATCATCGATTTGGATGGATCGAAATGAGAGAGGAGGTCAAGGACGGGAGAGAAGAAATCTCATGCCGACCCGAAGACGCCCACTCCTGGAAGACCCAAGCACGCCAACCTTGCCGCAAGGCATGACAAGCAGCACCAGACAGAGAAGGCAGAGTGTGACGAGAAGGGGACAAAGAAGCATCGACAGTGACCGCAGCAAAGGCATGTTGCCAAACCCACGGACGGACCTCAGAAAAGCCCTTGGCCTTCATCCAAGAACGCAGAGCATTGGAGGCAGTGCCAGAATGACGCGACCAGACAGGACCAGAACCCTTGGTAAGATGGTACCGAAAGACCGCAGAGAGGAGGCGGGTAGCCCAAACAACATCAAGGTGAAGGTTCCCACCAAGAAAGAGACAGCGGAGCCAAGGACTGCTGTACCGACACCGACGCACAGAAGACTAGAAACAGGACCACAGCTGCTTGGAAGAGGTCCAAGTAGGAGCGCGAGCCACCCACCCGCAATTAACCTTAGACAGGGAGAACTGACGGAGATACCGAAGTTGCAAGGGAAGGGAGAAACCACAGCACCCCAACAACCGAGCACACTTCCGAGCGGCTTCGAAGCGACGAACCTCCGCAGCACGATAGGCCCGACGAACCGAGCAGGACACAGCACCCAGCACCCGGATGGCAGGGGACACTCGAGAAGGATCGAAGACCTGACAAGCATCTTCAGTTTTGCGTTTGCCAACAGCTGAAACTTCACATTTGGCCAAGTTTTCACAAAGGCCAACACTAGAACTCCACTGCGACCATGCAAGATAGATCTCATGAAGTTTGGCAGCATTTCTTGCAGTACAGGAACGATCATCAAGATAAGTCTTAATGGAGATGTCACTTTCGGGGGTTTCACAAGTTTGCCAAACAGTTTGGACCCCAGCTTGAACCCACAGGCTCATGAGCAGCGGCCCCCAAGGGTCACCCTGAGGCTGGACTCGACTCGCATGCTAGGTGCTTGAATGGGTATGATGGTCCCATTGCACAAATCGCTCCTGGTGACGCCAAGTTGCTTCCAATAAATGAATAAGATCAAGGGGCCATGGAGCACGAAGCAAGCTGCAAGAGAGGTTGCTGTCAAGACAGTCAAAGGCCTTGCTATAGTCCATAGTGAGCATGAAACCATGCTTGTGGAAGTTGTCAAAGATCTCAATGATGTTCTCATAGATATCTTCTCGAGAGACGCCACCAACATTAGCCAGAAGCACTGAACGAAGCCCGGAACGAAGGGAGGTGCTACGACAGACCGATGAGCTCCAAAGGCGCCACCACACAGACATGACACTGATTGGCCGGGCATCACCTGCTTTGATACTGTAGTCGTGAACTTTGCCTTCCTTGGGGAGGCAAACCATGCGAGACTGCCGTAGCTGCTTCGGCACATCCCGGGCAGTGGCAAAGGCTCGAAAGAGCTCAGACACCGTATTGAAGACATCCAGAGGCAGGTACTTCAACTCTTGAGCAGTCCACTTGTCAGGCCCCGCAGCACCGTGGCTGTCTTGCGCAGTAGCTTGCAACTCAAGACCAGTGGGGAATGGGATGTCAACGGCTTGGACAGGAGCAGGAACACCATGGAAAAGAGCAGCTTCCCGTTGCGAGAAGGAAGGGATGGACCGACGCAGGTCCGACCAGAAGGATTCCCAAAAGGCCTTGATGGCCTCAGAGCCCTCATGCCAGTTCTCAGTCACCGTGCCATCAGTTCGAATGACCCCGCTACACATGCTCCATTCTTTGCTGCGAAGCCATTTAGAGACATGCGAAGAACAGCTCTGTAATTTGGTACGCCAGGACATCAGGTTGGAGTTCTTGGTTTGATCACGAAGTTGACCAAGGTCTGATTGCAGCCTCGCCAGAGTAGCACGAATGTTTTGCCGAGAAGGGATAGCAAAGGATCCAGTGAGCGATTGGGGGCCATTCTGAGACCTCACTGCCACCTGAATCGTGATTGACCAGGATGTTGTGTCAGCATCCTGGATGTCGTATTGCCAAGAAGCACGCGCAGTCGGCTCCTCAGGTGCCTTGGCCAAGAAACTCCATGTGCTCCTTCTTTTGGAAAGGGCCGAGATCTCAGTCCACTGCTGCTTCTCCAAGAAACTTTGAAGATCATCATAACCCCAAGCCCGGGGCACACCTTGAACAACATGGAGCCGCGCCTTTTCGGGCTTGTGATCAGTGTTGCACTTGGGAAAACCTAGGGTGTCACCAGTCCCAAACCGAAAAATGCATGGGTTGCTTCCTTTCAAGCTGCAACTGCTAAACCCTGCGATGATACGTTTCATGGTTCTCTTTGGGCTGGCGAGCAATCCAAAAAGGGGTCAAATCGGAAGTTCCTTTGGGTTTGATATGGGTCATGAAAAGGCCCGAATTACCACTGAGACCAACCAAAGTAGCAATCAGGGCAGGTTTGAGCCTCAGAAAAACAATCAATTGTTTTCCTTCCTTTTTCTCTTCAAAACTCCAACGGCCCCCGGAAAATTCGCTGGTAGGGGAGCCAGTCATGGCAGCCAGGTGTTTGATGACTTCGGTTGGAGAATCTTCATGCTTAGCCCCTAGAAATGGGGTTCTGAAACAACTGGGAGCGGAAATCCTCAAAGTCTCCCGCTGGACCTTAGGAACCAAGGTGATGTCAACTTTTTTGCTCACCGGAAGCCAGGGGCCACGGCCCTCACCAATTTTGAGGAGGCCAGGATCCTCAAGTTTGTGGCCAAAACTGCCACGAGTGAGTGACAACCGTGCATGGCATGCACCTTGTGCCTTTTGCTTGGCATCACCAAAAAGCAAAGCCGTGAGGCCCTGAGTTTGTTGGAAACAAGACCAAAGAGTCAACAATTCCTCAAGCGTGTGATAATCCCAAATTTCGCAAACGTTGCCATCAAAAGACTCACCGGAGCGAAGACAGGATTTGATTTTGGGGAAAGAAACCAACTTTTGGGGGAACCGTAACATCCCAGTCCGCCAATCTGAGGCCAGTGATCCACTTGGAATCTCGCCCATGAAAACTTTGGGGGCCCGAAAAAACCGACCGGGATTGACCAGTTTCGGGGGTTTTAGGGGACCCAGCATGTTTGGAATCAACCCAGGTATACCAACCATTGGAATCAACAGTATAGGCTCGTGCATTGCCAAGACCGTCAGTCCAGTATTTGACCTGCGGAGCTGGTTCATTCCAACCTGTTTTGTTAGGATGAACTTCGGTTTTCTTGGTCAGCTGTTTGTTCTTCTTTTTCCGAAGTTTAGAACCCCCAGAGCGCTGAGCTTGAGGAATGGACGATTGTAAAATGGTCCACAGCTGATCCAAGGAAGCGCCAGAGTTAAGGCACTGCTTCAAAACAGCAATGACATCGCGAGTGTATTCACCAAGGTCGCTGCCACCGCCATTTGGTTTTTTTGCTCGTTTTCGTCGTGGAATCCCATTTTTGGAGGCACCCCCCGCAAGTTTAGTGGATAGCAACAAATCCATGTATTCAGGGGTAAACCCAGACCAGTCAAAACCCGAAGGAGAAGATCCATTTTGGTGGGCAAAGCCCTTGGAGGACAAAATCCCAAACCGGGAAAAACTTTTGGTGGACCAAACCCCAGGTCTGAAGCGGAAGGTACGACGGGTCATAACCCTCTTCCAAGCTCTGCGGCGGCACTTTGTCCGCGCACCACAACATCGTTTTTTCCCAACAAAACGACAAGCGGCCCAGCAGCGACGAAGTGAAGCCACATTTGAAGGACGACACCGAGTTTGTCTAGTCTGGGTTTCCGGGGTCGCTTTCGTTTCGTTTTGAAGCATTTTCCAAGCAGCAAACAAATGGACAAAGCACTGAACCAAAATTGGGGCCAAACTTCGAGGTGCAGGTTGCAATCATCAAAAGAGACAAGCAACCAATCAAACAAAGTTCGATTCGAATCGTCCCAATCCGCATGCCAAGACCCATTGAAATCTGCTGTGCGCAGGTGAAGGTACTGCTGCAGAAGCAGCCCAGCGCTAACGTTCGCAGCAGCTGCCAGCTCAGAACCGCGGCTGTCCATGGCAGCCCATCGGCCCCCACAGACCGTGGAGCCCGTAGGGCTAGATTTAAGCGCATCCAAGGCGCATGAAGGACTCGACCGTGTGGCAACAGCAGTTGGCAAGAAGCAACAACACAGCCACAGCATCGTCAGCCAGCGCACACACCTAGGGCAACTTCCTTTTTTGAGACTCTTACCTGGTTTTTTCTTGGTCAAAACACAGGTGACCTGAGAGTACTCAGGCTCTTTTTTCGACTCTGGCAGAGCCGTCAGTTTGGTGACCTGAGAAACCTCAGGCTCTTTTTCTTTTTTCACATCCTTGGTGACCCGAGAAGCCTCGGGCTCTTTCTTCGACTCGCTAAGAGCCGTCCCATGCATTTCCATCTCGGTATTTTCTTTAATTCTGTCTTTTTCTTTGTTTTTTGGTTGTTCATTATTATTCTTTTTTTTCTTTCCCAAGAAACTGCACCAAATTAATGGCCTTGGTGAGCATTTTGCACTGCAGCGCATTCCAAGAGGCTGCAGCCCACTTGCGCCAAACGGCTCGATCACCGTCGGGGGCACGCTCTCGCAAGCACGCAACCTGGGGTGATATCGTTGATGCGCAGCTGCCGCCCATAGCTATGCGAGCAGCTGCAGGGAGAGCCATCAGCGCCGTCCAGCGCCACCCAGCTCTCTTGGTGATACATGAACATGCAACCTGAGAGTCCCTCGGTAGTTGTCGGGGAAACCTTAGGAGTGAAACTAACACAGACGGTCATTAAGATGGGTGTCGAAGGGACCACGGTTCTTCCACAGTACGCGTGAGATGTTGGATAATGTTAACGTTATTGGCATTCCCCAAAATAGGCCATCCAAATCGGCTGGTCCCTAGGGAAGTCCCTCCCTAGAAATGGGCATTGGGCCATAAAGGGCCAAGAGAAAAACCCAAGTTAGCATGGAACATGCTACATGCCAATTGTATGGCATACAATTCACATATATAATATATATATATATATATTGCAGTGTATATTGTATATAATAATGAATAATGTATAATATCACATATATGTCATATTTCAGAGGAAAAGGAGAGCAGCTGCCAGGGCACCTGTTGTTAGGCAGGAAGGTGGACACTTGCAGAACGAGATCAAGCATACCAACGTATGAATGCAAATCTCTGGGATCAACGGATTCTGCAACCGCAGGACTGCGTGTTCAAAATCGTTTCAATTTTCAAACTCTGTTGTGTACAAGACATTCCAAACAAATCTTGTGATGTTATATGAGTTTATATGGAAAGGTATGAGCCCACAGAATTTATTTGTTACACTTGGCGATATCCTTGGCTATATGTGTTAATGCTTATATGTTGGGGTTATCCCTCCTTGTGCAGGAAGGCGCTATGCCTACATCTTCTTTGATGCGTGCAGCGGACACTGAACAATCCAAGGAAGATGTGCGTGCTGCAGCTGCTGCCACTCCGGATGATGAGACACCACTGCTCGATACCCTTGTTGCGGATCCACCTGAGGACAGCACCACTGTGCTGTTTGCTCCAGGTTCAGGTGTGCCGAAACCTGGGGGTCAATCCGTGGCAACTCAACCAAGCAAAGTCCATCACTTCCAGGAACCTTTGAAGAAAGCACCAGTGGTGGTTGGTGCAAACCTGCCAGAACCTGAGATGTCACCTCCAGGTGATGCAACAGCATCCGCAGAGCAAGCAGCTCCAGTCATTCCTCACCAGACACTTGCAGAGCAAGCAACACCTGCAACGATGCCTGACCAAACACCTGCAGCGCAAGAACCACCAGTTCCTGAGCAGAAGCCTGCAAAGCCCCAAAAGGCCCAAAAGAACAAGCCGGACGGCTCTCTACTCCCAACCTGAAGAGATCCCGCGAAAAGATGTGACAAGCCAACAAAAAGTACCAAAAGTCTCTGTGTCGAAGTTGGCAAAGATTCCTAATTTGTTTCACACAGATATCAATCTCTTGAAGTAAAACCTGCTTCATGGCAGGAAGGATAATCAACATTACACAGCAGTCATCTAACAAGAATAATTCAAAAGAAAAGACTTTGAGCTGCTATAGCGGTTGTCAAGCTGTGTGTGCTTGGGCAACAAGTTCCTGTACAGATTTCGCAAACCAAGCAGTATTTTGCTGTTTTTCAGGAATGGCCATGAATGGCCACTCACCTCCTGAGCCACACTTGAAGCACTCGTCAAAACCATGTTGCACTTCAAACATTTACGAACGCTCTGCGAAGGAAGGGCCCCTATCTACACATTCCAAGACTCCAAACCTTTAGAGAACCTATTTGGGATGTCGGATTTTCCTGGCACCATGTTTTGATGTGCGTTTTCTGGCTTCAGCCATCTGGCCAAGGCACAAAGTCTCACGAGAAGTGCCAGCTTGGAGGCATAACCCTTGGTATTTCAAATCTCGTCTCTTAAAACTGTTCATCAAGCGATTTGCCAAGGAAATTGGATCGCAAATGCATCGTGAAAAAAGGCTTCCTTTGTTTATGCTGTAGCTGCACGCCAAGGAAACTGCACGATTGCGTGGGCAATTGGCAGAAAATAAGCCTCTTGAATCCTCTTGATATGTTTCTGGCCCAGCCCGGTATCAACAAATCCCAGCCAATGAACAACCAAAAACCAATAATTGTCTTGCTTTTCATGTTTCTAGTTTCCGAATCCGTGGTGTCCGAATCCTGGTTTCTGAATACAGCGCTAGTTTCCGAAGCTGTTCATACCTGCTGATGTCTAAAGAACGACAGGACTCTTTCCATGCACACTCACAGCCTGCGTCAATGGCAAACAGCCTGTAAGCTGATGCTTTCTGTTTTATAAGAGACAGAGAGCGTGGACCTGCAGACTCTAACGGGCTAGAGATCAACGATGAATATCATCAGATCCTTGAAGATCACTTGCCCGACTATTCAACGAGCATCTGAGTTATGCCATGTTGTAAATTTAAGGAGTATAACACAAGGCCCTCTCAAGAGTGTTTGCTGCTTGCTGCTTTCCGGTCGGATGTCCCTTCATGAGTCGAAGGTCCTTTCTGTCCTTTTTTCCTCATTTCTCGGAATTTGTGTCTATATAATCATAATCCTTTGAAATGTCTTCTGTTCTCATCTGAATCTGTCACATTCTTTCTGTGAAGATGCTTCAGAAAGTAGTAGTACTTGCGAGCACTCGATCCTCAGACGCCTGAGCTTTGTCGATATAACCGGCTTCCAAGCACAGCTCAGCTCAGCTTGACACCATCGATTGCAACGTTTCCAACCTCAAAACTGGAGGCAACAAGGACGAAAGCATCAATGGGCAATGAACAAGATATACCTTTATTGGACCAACTTATTCATTGATGTTGTCACAGTGCAAGCCAACATCAACCACAGTTGATTTTTCAAGTCTGAGCATTTGGCAAGCTCTGACATGGCTTTTGTAGCGGAGTCAAAGCCGACAGACCTCACAGTCGGAAAAGGCTTCTGATTACTCTCGGCATGCAACAAAGATTTCAAAAACGGAGCATGGATTCAAAATGCAAGTTTCATAGACTTTGTGACTGGCACAACTCGGCCATGGCTCATTTGGACCAGATAAGCCATGCAGTACCCGACATCCCCTTACCATGGCTTTAGCCTCGTTCTGCTTGAAATACTCTGCCAAATAAGCTGTGTTCCTGCCTCTCGACCCAAATCCAAATCACCTTTCCTTTAGTTAGCCTATAACTCAACCAATTCTTGTATCATTTCAAAGATATGCGAACGCAGATTGCGAAATAGTAGGGTTCGGACGTGCTCCGCCCACCAGCACCGAGCCATCGAGGTCCAACTCAATGTCATTAAGGGGAGCAATGACAACTCAATGCGGTCCCACAAAGGTTCGTTCCCAGCCCCTCAAGGTTTGGGGACCATTGATCTTCAAACCTGCCCCAGTCAAAAGGCCTGGCAAGTGCTCTTGGCTCTCTCCTTCTCATCCTGTCCAAATTAGATCCACATCCGCACCGATTTTCTCGTGAAGCCGAAGGCAAGCTGACCCTTGGAAAAAAACAAGTCTCGGATTCCAAAGGAATGTCCCACCCAGGTCCTTGCTGTTGATTCGATCGAGCTTCATAGATTTTGTCACAAACCTATTTTCGTGTCGCTTTCATACTTTTCATATCAAACCTGAAAAGGTGTATGACAAGTCACCAACTATTTTGGTGTCACTTTTTTGGTGTCGCTTTCAAACCTATTTTGGTGTCACTTTCATGGCAAAGGTGATTCACTGTTTGCCAAGTCAACTGAAGGGTAAGTGCTCCGACCCTCGCAGCCCTTGTCATCTCTCATGCCGTTTGTGGGAAGGCTTCGCTCTGAGGCCCTTGCATCTCTAAACCACCTCAGTTGTGGGCTGAATTCACTGCGGGGCTTCGAACACGACTAAGTAAGGCATGTCCATTAAATTGGACACGGCAAAGGCTCGTCATTTCTATTCCATTGGTCCTGCACTTTTCATGTGGTTCCATCGAGCTCCTATCATGCTGCAGGCGCTTCTTTTTTTTGAAGCCTCTTTGATCTTTGATCGTTGATGCATCACTTTACAATTTTTTTCACATGAGGATGCCTGCGCCGCAGAAAAGGCCGCCAAGCTCTGGAGTGAATTCGGCAGCCTTCAGAGATTTTCGTCGTTCCTAGCAGTGAAATGATCCACTTGAACTACAAGTGGGAAAGCAACACCTTGGTGAACAACTGGAAGCATGAACTGAAGAAACCTGTGTGAAACAAATTGCAGATTTGGTGGCAGGACTATGCGTGGCTGCTCCTGCTTGTCCATCAAGCCACGAGTGCCGCCGACAAAGCCGCAGACTTTGTGTCCAAGATTTGAATGACGCCTCATGCTTCAGATGAGCTCAAAGAAACAAAAACAAACAAACAAAATTAGCTGAAAGCCTCTGGGTGGGAAAGCTTACTTAAGGCACAAAATGGGTGAAGGATCACAAGAGTTGCATTTCCATGCTGCAAGATCTGAGAATGTTTTCTAGTCCGGCAGGTACAAGTTTTTCAAGATTTCTGCAGATTGAGAAGTCTTACCATGAGAATGACAAAACAAGGGTTTAGGTGGGCGAATTGTGAAAGCAATCCCGGATATCAGGTACCTGGAAGGCTTGAACGCATGCAACAATTTGATCATCTCATGCGCCGGTTGGAGGACTGGTTTTGGCCCTCTGCACCGCGCCTCCAGCCGCGTCACAACGCCGCGGAGGTCAGCGCCCCCAGGACTGGAAACTCTCACTGTCCAACTCGGCATTGGAAAGGTCAGCGGCAACAGCAACGCTGAAAAAACATCCGGCCTTGGACACTTTGATCACTTTGGACTTTGCCTCAGGACATCATGAAAACCATTCCCCCGGGATTTGAGGACGATGAGAGCTCAGGGGCTGCCATGTCATACTTGTCCAAGTGTTCATACCCGAATCCTTCAATGTTCCGTTCACATAGGCGCTGTCGAGATAAAAGCGTCCAAGGAGCCAAGAACACAACAGCATGGCTGCCTTGGAGTCAACTTTCTTTCACCTGTCAAGCTTGTCTGGATGCGCTGGGCGCCACAGCCACAAGTTGCAAATCTAGTTGCCAAGCGTGACAATGTTCCAACCATCAATCTACCAAAAATAGTCAAACAGAAACGGCTTGCTGGCTGCACCCTTGACAGTCTTGACACCCGTTCATCGTCTCTACATGAATATATAGGTATGTATGTAACATGTAGATATGTGGATATTGATATGCTATGATATGCTATTGTGTTTCGAAATTGCCCAATGCACCGCCAAATCCTCAACCCTCGTTCAAAAGCCGTGGAAGTGATGACAAGAGATGACATCTCGTCACAAGGTTTCAGCCTTCACTCAGTCTTCACAGAACCTATGTTGGCGGGGCCTGAAATACATCCACAACATGATCGGCGAAACGTTTTTTTAAGCCAGAACCAGCTTGGGACAAACGGTTAAAAAGTGTCATAGTTCAACGTCTGTAACTTGGAAGTTGGGCTGCTTGTGAGGTGTTTGTCTTGGAGATGTTGAAGATGGAAGTTTCCAGGTCTCAGTTTCATGCCCTGCAACTTGGAAGTTTATATAACTTCTGCTGATTTTATGGCGGAAGTGCAAACAATGACCCAACCTCTTGAATGGCCGCCGCCGGAAAATGCCGCGGCCATGGCGGCACAAACGACAGCTTCCCACGACACGAAATTCTTCCGCAACTGCTTTGGTAATTTCAACCTCATTTCTTGAAAGTGTTGGTTGAGATACGTGCCAATCTTATTTTGTAAGTAAGAATGCTAATATATGCTATTATTAAATATGATGGCAGATGTTTACCTATAGTACATGTTGGAACGTTGCCTCTCCTGCAGCATGGCTATGTGGCTTGGCTATTTGCGCCTTGGCCCAAGATTTCGCCGCATGTTGCAACCTCCGAATCTTCCACGCCCGAACCAATCTATTTGGAGTCCGCTAGCCTGACAGTCCTCTCCAGGTTTCCCCAGCTCATTTTGTCCGACACCTTGCAACCTGTGCGACATTTAATTATTCTAGTGCCTGGCGGGAACAGCTGGAACCATTCGAATTGGCTGCAGCGTAGGCTCAGATCATGGAACGGGTCGCCTGTCAAGAGCGCGAAACCAAATATTCATCCACTCTAATCCTAATTCCTTGGCACCCTGCTATCTACCTATAATCTATCTATCTGAATACCAATTTTTGCATCTATCTCTGCACCAATGGAAAGAAAAAATATAACAAGGACTCAACGATTGGCGCCTCTCCAATCTCTCTACAAGCGCCATTTCGTTGGAGGTGACACACCTGGGAGGCCACCAAGACTTGGAGGAACGCAACTGGTTCATTTCTTGGCCGCAAAAGCCAAGGAACGTGGTTGCCAAAATGTAACGTTCCTGCGGCCAAAAAAACGGGAGAGTCGTCAAACACCACTGCAATATATTCTCCGCATCTGCATCATGGAACGCGAAGTGCCAGAAACAATTGAGCATCCACTTGTGGACAAGTGGCAGAATATTTCCACATCCCTCCTTCATGACCCTAACGTCTAAGGTCTTGGCGCCATCAACATCATAAAGAATGTTCCTTGCCCTTGCCCTTGCCTTCTTCAGGAGCATATGATGGGTTTTGGCCTGTGATGCTTCGAATCATCTCACCTTGGAAACCGAGGAATCGAACACATTTTCTCGACAAAACAATTCACAAGATTCAGGACCCACTGCATACCATGAAAAACCGCTGTTTCCACAGACATCTTTGAAAAAAAGTTTACAAATCGACGTGTTTCAGTTTCGTTCGCTGGAATTGCCTTCTTCCTCAGCGGCATAGGACTTGCGACTGGTAGTGCTGTGTCGCATATCGCCTGCAATAGAAACCGCTTTCGGCCGGAGCCCCAAGAAGAGAATGCTCTTCTTTCGCTGCGGCTCTTCCAAGCCCTGCCACAGTGTCGCCAAATCTTTCTGGACGGAACACAACCAGGGCGTAACGGTGTAACGATGTTTACCCAACAGCAGAGTGGGTGAAAAAATGCCTGAACACCCAAAAATCTGGATAGCTAGTGCTAGAAATCAGTCACTTTGGAATGTTGATTTTGGACCATGTTGGACCTACTTGGCGCTTGGAGTCAAAACTGGCTGGTTATGATGGGGTCGGTTATGGCTCAGCATCTCTGAATATCTATGGCGTCTTTTTTGCCGGAGTTTGCAACAAAACCAAGTCAGATTTAGATTTCAACGATACCAATCCGTGATGCATGCACCTTGGCAATCAAGACGCCCAGGAACAGGCACAAGAGAAGTATTGTCACCTTGGCAAACCATTGTGAAACCATGCGACGCATCAGTTATTGCCGGCAAAGCGCCATCTTCAGTCCCCGCCAAAGACAAAGAACGCGAGCAGCCTCTGCTTCCTGGTCGTACATTTGTTTGTGAATTTCACGGAAATTCTCAAGAATCCTTTATGGTGAAAGTGGGTAGCAGTAGTCTTCCCTAAGTAGCGGGTGTTTCCATACTAGTTCAATTTCAATTAAAAGTACTTCCCCTATGGCGACTCTATGGCACACCTTCATGGAAACTTCACGCTCGGCCTCTTGGGCGGCAAGCATGTCACGTTGCTGTTGCAACTCTCTCCTCCGCGGGAAATCAACAGCACATTCCTGAAAAAGCGCGCCAACCTTCAGGCTTTTGGGAAGCCAAATGATCTCTCATAATTACTTTGCGACTTTTTATCTCTGGTTTTTAATCTCTGGTATCTCATGGTATCTCAGAGAGGCAATCCACAAGTGGACATCGTGACAGGGAACCTGATAGTAAGCACCTCTTGCTCTTTGGAAGCCAAGGCCTCTCATGAAAACATCCAAGGGGGTGATTCACGACCAGGGCAAGGAAGAGTTGGTAGTCGAGGCATCCCTTATGATTTCTTTTGTGGAGTCCGGATTCTTAAGTTGACTCTATGCTCCGCTGGACGCAGTTTCATCACAACCATCAGTTTGCCCATTGACATTGACTTTGCCTCTTCCAGTTGATGCACTCGCAGCTCTGCCTCCTCCGCTGCTCCATCCTCCGCAGCTATTGCTGTTGTGTTCCAGATAATTCATGCTGATTGACCAACAAACCATTCTGTTGAGTTTTCGTCTTTCTGGGGTCCTCTTGCAGTACATGGATTTCGCGCATTTTTTGTGTGACGTAGCCATTTTTTGTTGAATTATCCATCTTTAAGATGGTAGTAACATTCTGGCAGCGATTCCCCAGTTGATGCTCATTGAGGATCCAAAAATCAAGCTGCCAACATGTTGTGCCATCACCTCTCAACAAGTTGTCGCATCCATCAGTGATTCTATTCCATCCCGCGGCCTCAGTCTGGACATCACGATCTGCAAAGCCAACCTGCCCACATTTCAACAGACAATTCAAAAGACAAACTTCAAGAACCTAAGTCACAGGGCCAAACAACGGACCATGTTTGTTTTGACAGTTCTGAGGCAAGTGCAATTCCATTGCCATTGCTTCAAACAACCGAATCTATCAAATGACACGCTGTCTCTGGTGCCCCTGTCTTGGTGTCCCTGGCTGGTATGGATTCTGTGAGCAGCTCAAGGTGAATGTCTTCAGTGGCCGAAGGCCTCAGCCACACAAATATGGTGTCACCATGCCATGTCACTTCATGACTTCAGGCGGCACATATGTTTGGCACCGGCCTGTCAGACGGAGAGGGGATGCTGCTTCCTGGAACAGTTCTGGGCATGGCTTTACTGGTCTATGTTGATCAATGCCCCCGTTCTTAACCACCTGGAAAGTCCGAGTAAGAACCTATTGATGACTCACCAGTGGTTTAAACTTGCTGCATGTGCTGCAAAATAATTCATGATCATGTTCAATCATCTTCTCATCCAAAATCCAGATTACGAAGTCAGTGTATTATGGCCATGTCGCAGCTGTGCACTCTGGCGCTCACTCCATTATGGTGCGGGCACGCACTGCTGCGCATATGCTGTGTGAATATCGTCACAAACAGACAAACATATCTCACCCTGTCACCAATCCCGTGCGCCAATGCCTCGCACCAATGCGCTGCTGAACTGTGGGATGGGACCAAGAATTGCCTGCCGATGACAGTGGCACCCTATCTCATTTAGGATTTGAGGAAATCCCAGGTCATGGCCATGGTATGCCATGGTCGCGACCGCCATGCTGAGCCGGGTTTACCATTCTGGGGGGTCTCTGTCCTCCTCCTCTGTGGGCACTGGCACGTCGCCAGGAGATGACCTCAGGAGGCCAGGAGGCTTGGGAGTGGTTTGGTGGTCCATTTGTACAAGAAAGTTGTTTGTTTGCATGGATATTCTGTGGCTACACCAATTCTAGTACAGTACCAAAATGTACCTGTTACAGTACCAAATATATGCCAAAATCATCTGCGCCAGGTTTAATCTCTTTTCACCGCAGGTATTTATGCGAGCCTATCATCTAAAATGACCTGATTTTGATAACATATAGAGGATGGATCAAATTCTTTGAGCACCAAACACCGTGGGTTTGCCAATGAAAAGGGTGGCAAATTCGATACCCCTGTCTTGACACACATGGCGTATGCCTAAAAATTGGAATCCCCAAAACGGATGGTTCATCACGACTTTCCATACGTACAGACTCATTTCAGTTCATTTCAACATAACCGTAGTCCCGGGTCATTCAGGTTTCCCCGCGGTGCTACGCCCTCCTGAATAGAACCTGATCACTGGAACGGACATAGATTTATTACGTAACTAAAGAACTTGCACTGGTGGAGCACCTGCTCCTTCCTCGGCCTGCGCTTCACTTTACCCAGGGTTTCGAATTTGGTGTTTCAGCAGTTGAAATTCTTTGATGTGTGGGGTTCCTACTGAGGTTTTTGGCCATATCCTTTAGGACACAAAATCCATTTTCATCTATAAAGGAATAGTCTTTCCTAGAGAGACTATGGTTCAAATAGTCTTTTGAAAGCTAGGGTTTCAGCTCAGGCTTCATCCCGACAGACTGCTTTGCAATTTGAATCTGGTCACCTGTTCGCAAGGTGGGCACCCGAGTTCGCCGGGCAAAAATCTCTGTCTGATCTGTGTTGGGGGCTTGAGATTGAGAACCAGTCACTACGAAATAACGTGACATGATTTGAATGGATGCGACGAAATACAACGCATTCAACTAGATATCTCTCTCTGTCTGCATATCTATGCATGTCTCTCTCAACAGGCAGAAGAGCTAGAACCGCAGCCTCAGAGGATGTCCAACAAGAGGTGTCTGACACCTCGCTCGCCTCGCCAGGCTCCGGTCTGCCAAGGAAGGTTTAAGAATGTTTAAGAAGACTAAGGGAATGGCGCGACACGTGACGGATCTTGAGAACTCCGAGTCGTTCTCAACCACGTACTCAACCACCTTGACCGCCACTTCCTTGCCTTTCACCTCACGTGCGCAGGTCAAGGAAGGTGTCACTCCAATTCGCTAAATTACGCAGGTCTCAACACACCCACGCGCCTTGAGGAGAGCGAAGTTCGGCCACATGCGCACTAGGCACCCCTAAGTTGGTTGGGGGGACCCCGGCCTTTTCTTTTTTAAGGTGGGTACTCCTGCCCATTCCTAAAGGTAGCTTCAGAGATCAAGAACTCCCAAACAATGTAATTCGCAATTTTAAGATTCCGCGGAAGGAACATGAATTCCGCGCTTTCAATACCTAGAACCTCTAACGGTGCACTTTACCTGTAGATTGCTAATTCATCCCTCTTGAAACCATTTTGACCAAGCACCAATGCTCCTAGAATAAAGGTTGTTGAAAGAACAGGCGCAAATGATTGCAATTCCATGGAAGTAAGGCCTCCAAAGCCAAAAGTTCTCCTGCGCCAAGCACGCGGAACACCTGTTCATAGATGCTCAGACCCCCCATCAAAAACCCCGGATGGATGAACATCAAAGAGTTTCATGGCCCATCAAAGCCCCCAAGAGTTTCATGGCCGGCGCTGCCTTGGCTTCGCAGGGGGGCTGCAAGTTTACGAGTTCCATGGCCGGAAAGAGCCCTGTCAACTCGAAACTCTAAACCACTTTAAAAACCGCTCGGAAAGTGTTGGAAAACGGGACTTTCCGAAAAAAGACGGACCAAAACCATGGGAAACAGCAAAAATCAGCGGCCTTGAGGGAATGCCAAAGATCTCGAGCCTGGCTCATCACGGACCTGAAAAACCAAGGCGAAACATTGCCCTGGCAATGGCAATGGCTTGGCACACTTGTGGATAGGACCCTTCTGGAATGTTTCTTGTTGAATTGCCCAACAGATCAGGTTTTGACCAATGGGCCATTTTGAGCTTATATTCAACATACACACACGTTCGAAAATGCGCATATATAATATATATTTGTATATGTATATATATATATGTATGTATGTATCCCTTCTGGGATCAAACCAATTTCCCAAATGTTGGTTTAATTGAGACGAACTCGGGTGGCGCGACTGTGCGCCACTGATTGCGCACATGTTTCTTCGAACGGCAAAATTCTTATAAGACGTTGTCGTGGGCAGATTCGCGTGCAAGTATGGTATAGATGTGATGCGCGGATTGGCATCATAATCTATGGACTACAGCCTTGCAGCCTTGCAGCGACCATGCAAAGTTCAGAGTTTGCCATGGAAAAGTGTTGAGGTTTGAGACGAAGACTGGGGTTTAGGGTTTGCGTGTAAACTTACATGCTGCGACCGGCAAAATGATCAAACAAATGATCTAAAAGCAAAAATGTTTATCAAACAAAAGTACTTAAGTGGACGATGATTTACCTACCTAAAAACGATAAGACATACTTTTGCTGGAAATTATCTAACATTTGCTTGATTTGAAAGCCTTACTTTACCCATCGATCCAAAACCAGCCTATTTATTGGACCTGTCAGGAAATGATCTGGTTAAGATGCACGATAGCCTTGGCCCCCGCACTTGTCTTTGGAACCAATTTACCGGGGCGGGAGCCGGAGCCACGTTTTGACTGCAGTTCCAAAATATGTGATCATGGGAGCCCGAAGCCTGCACGCAGAACGGACATGCATCCTCGCATTGATGGATTTCCTCCAAGCCACACCCGAAATATCTGGCAGCGGGCGAGAGGAAACTGCCCATGAAGAGAGCGCGGCAGGAGCCGCTGTTTTCGAGCGCTGTCCTAGCTGCAGTCAAGTCCACGTCAGCAAAACTTTGGACACGGTCTGGGAGGTCCAGGGTGTCATGAAGATCCGCAGCATCACGACGATGTAACTGCTTAGAAAACTTGAGATAGGACTGAAATTTGCACATACGCCTAATGATATGCAGCTGCAGCTCTACCGGCTGTCGGGACAGCGGATGAAGGTCCAGTTTGGACTCATCGCCGGTGAAAACCGGCCGAAAATCTGGCAACGGCTTCCAAATCCACGGCTCGTCAGAAGTGAATCCCAATTTAGATAGAGATTGTTGGAGCAACCTAAGAGATGTGTGAGGTTTGCTGTTCCACCGAAGCCCTGAACGGTCTCGCCGGTACATGCGGCTCCACCTTCTTTGGGTGACAACCCATGGAAGCCAAGTGATACTGCCATAAAAAAGCTTTCTCAATTCGCGCGATGCGCCCTTTCCAGTATTCAGCCATTTAGTCAAAAGATTGAACAAGGAATCACCCATTTCAACCGTGGGGTTCTTACCAACCCAACCGTAAGCAGCCATGGAAACAACCATGCTCTGGAAAGCTCTGACCTTAAGACCCCAAACCAGAGGGGTGACCAAAAGAAGAGCAGCCCTTTTTTTGGCGCGCTGGATTCTGTTAAGTTCATTCTCGGTGAAGAAGAAGAAGTAGTTCTCGAGCCGCCGCCCTTGATCGCGAACGGCTGAAAGAAGGCTGCGCAAGCAGCGGTTGAAGCGCAAAGCGAGGACAGCACTGTACCTAAGTGAATCCTTAGTGAAACGAGTAGTGGCACCTTAGCGTGCAGGACATGCAAGTGAAATCGCCAAACAAGGTGGATGTGACACCGCTGTAGTTCTTAGAGAACCTCGGATTTTTCAACCACCAGAATGGTCCGTTCAGAAAGAATTAAAAAAGAGGGTCACCGGGCACCTCATTTACCATGGCGTAAACCCCACAAGGTATCCACCGTGGCACACACGTGTCCCAAAACTTTTTCTTCCGCAGGGTCCGACACCCACCCTATAGCCGCAGGAGCAGAGGTGAATAATCGGGCAAATAAAACGCATGTTTGTTTTTGGGGCATTCCCAAAAACAATGCTGGAAAGTACCAAGTGCAGTGCAACACATTGGACACATTTGATCTAAACCATCAACACGTGTACCACATGCCGCAGGGCTCCAGAAGCTCCCGGACATGAGAGCACGCGCCGGTGCGCTGGACGACAACCAGGCCAGGCACCTCTTAAGATCGATCCGCCCAAATCTGTGACGAAGTTGAGCAGGAGAAAAAATTAAGCTCACGGCCTTTGCGTCTCTGCGACCAGAGGACAAGAAACCTTCAAAACACTGAATCTTGTACATCAACCTGATGTTGTGAAGTTGAACCTCCAACTCCTGGCCAGAACCACGCCTGGCATCTAAGTTAAACACAGTCGGCCTAAAGGCCGCAGCCCACGTCGCCGGGGGCGTCCACAAAAACGGTTCCTTTTCCTGGAACTTCAACACCTTAAGTTGTTTCCTAAGCATGGCCAAAAGAGAGTGAGGTTGATGTCTCCACACCGGCAAACCTTCCCTTTCAGTCAGCCTTTTGAAACGCGCCCAAGAACGCGTGAGAAGAACCACATTAAGGTTCGCAACAGCTCCCGCAAACAACTTGCGGAGGTGGCGGGAAGCACCATGCCCGGTTCCCCAACCCTTAATAAGTCCTGAAAAAAGCTGTTCCGACTCACGTTTGTTTGGCCATCTTCCAATCCAGCCATAGGCTGCCTTAGAAGAGGCAAAACTCTGGTGTGCTCTTATCCTGAGATCCCAGGACAAGGGTGCAAGACGGAGAAGCTGAGCCCGAAGCCGAGCGCCTTCCAGTCGATCAGTTTCAGTCTGACTGTAGGTACGGACCACCGACACGGTGGAAGCACCTAGAACCTTAATATGTTCCTTAGCCCAATCTGGAACCCTGTCAAAAAGCGCCCGCCTTTGCGCCTGAGTCTTGGCACAAATCTGCGTCTTGCTTGGGATTTCTCTGAGACCCATCCTTTGCGACCAACACGACCAGAGATCAGTGGCTTGCATGACGGCATCTAAAGAAAAAGAATGAAAACTCCTGTCATCCATGTAAGTGAACTGTTGAATAGGGCCATGAGAAGACCGTTGAACGAACCTAACCCCAGACGTCACCCAGATACTAAGGATCAGTGGAGCGAGAGGACATCCCTGAGGTGTGGCATGTTCCGCATCCAGCGGTGTCTCATGGGTGTGGCCATCAAAGGACGCCCACCTCATGTTCCGCAACCTGGGATGACGACGACTTTGAAGTAGTGCCAGCAGCCCAAACCAGATGCGGCACTCAGCGCGGACCACCTTAGTGGTCCTTAGCTGACCAAATTGCCGACTGACATTCCGTCAGCCAGCCACGGACCTTAGTGACCTGAGTCGGGTCAAGGTGATCAATGGAAAGAGTCCATCCGAAGCGAGCAAGAAACGCGCAAGCAGGCTAACCAGGAGCATGGGCAGGGCGACGACTGCAAGACCAGCAGATGTGATCCCAGAACCCAGCAGAGTGGCACCCCCAAGGGCAGAGAGAAGATTGACCGACACCGGACACGCGATCCCAAGTGGCAGGAGAGAACGTGGCACCCAGCCCAACCGAAGCAGCAGGGGCAGAGGAAAGCACCCAAGAACGAACATCATCGATTTGGATGGATCGAAAGAGAGAGGAGGTCAAGGAAGGGAGAGAAGAAATCTCATGCCGACCCGAAGACGCCCACTCCTGGAAGACCCAAGCACGCCAACCTTGCCGCAGGGCATGACAAGCAGCACCAGACAGAGAAGGCAGAGTGTGACGAGAAGGGGACAAAGAAGCATCGACAGTGACCGCGGCAAAGGCATGTTGCCAAACCCACGGACGCAACCTGGGATGAAAGAAAAAGTTGATGTCAGCTGAAGCCCGAAGATTGCCTTCAGCTGCTTGCAAAAAGCGCCAGCAGCATGCAGAGAACCGCACGTCAAAAACCATGAATTCACCTTAGAAAGTCCAATCTAAGATTTACGCAACCTGGGATGAAGACTTTGAAGCGTGCAACAACCCATATTGAATAATGCTGGATACTGATTTTTCTTTTAAATCCAAAACAAGATCGCCCCAAAAGTTTTTGTGCACAATAGGGTGCCATCGAAACAATTACATTATTGAGGATCTGGGTCACTCATGGGGTACACCCCAGAAAAATTGTTTGGGTGCTGTTTTTAACTAAGGGTTTAATAAGGCAATAAGGCATCTGATTATTTGGGAAACCTGGCATTTTCAAGGCTTTAGCATAGATATGGTTTTCTAAAGTAATTGGACCAGCTTTACCCAAAGAAAGGTGTATAAAGGTGGATAAAGCTCCTCCTGAAAAAATTGGATCGAAGAAAAAACTTTCCACAATCGAGCCCCACCCCACCATCCACAAGATACTCGATAATTTTGGAAATGAAAAAATCCACAAACGAGGTCCATCACACTAATTGGTATCCAACATTACTGCGCATCCCAAGAGATCCTTAGTGATCCTTAGCTGACCAAATCACAGTCTGACATTCAGCCAGCCAGCGATGCAGCTTAGCAGACAGGAAGACAGACAGACAGACAGACAGACAGAAAGACAGACAGACAGACAGACAGACAGAGAGACAGAGACAGACAGAGACAGACAGAGAAAGACAGGGACAGAGAGAGAGAGAGAGAGACAGAGAGAGAGAGAGAGAGACAGAGAGACAGAGAGACAGACAGACAGACCGACCGACAGACAGACTGACCGACCGACAGACAGACCGACAGACAGGCAGACAGAGAGACAGAGAGACACAGAGACAGAGAGACAGAGTGAGAGAGAGACCGAGAGAGAGAGAGAGAGACAGAGAGACAGAGAGAGAGAGAGAGACAAGACAGCCAGACAGATCGACAGAACAGACAGAATAGACAGACAGAACAGACAGACAGAACAGACAGACAGAACAGACAGACAGACCAGACAGACAGACCAGACAGACAGAACACAAAGACAGAACAAAAAGACAGGTCAGACAGACAGACCAGACAGACAGACCAGACAGACAGACCAGACAGACAGAACAGACAGACAGAACAGACAGACAGACCAGACAGACAGACCAGACAGACAGACAAGACAGAGAGACAAGACAGACAGACAAGACAGACAAAACAAACAGACAAGGCAGGCAGACAAGACAGACAGACAAGACAGACAGACAAAACAGACAGACAAGACAGACAGACAAGACAGACAGACCAGACAGACAGGCAAGACAGACAGACAAGACAGACAGACAAGACAGACAGACAAGACAGACAGACAAGACAGACAGACAAGGCAGACAGACAAGACAGACAAGCCAAGACAGACAAGACAGAAAGACAAGACAGGCAGACAAGACAACAGACAAAACAAACAGACAAGGCAGACAGACAAGACAGACAGACAAGACAAGAAAGACAGACAAGACAAGACAGACAGACAAGACAAGACATACAGACAGACAAGACAGACAGACAAGACAAACAGACAAAACAAACAGACAAGGTAGACAGACAAGACAGACAGACAAGACAAGGCAAGAAAGACAGACAAGACAAGACAGACAGACAAGACAGACAGACAAGACAGACAGACCAGACAGACAGACAAGACAGACAGACAGGACAGACAGACAAGACAGACAGACAGGACAGACAGACAGGACAGACAGACAGGACAGGCAGACAGGACAGACAGACAGGACAGACAGACAGGAGGGACAGACAGGACGGACAGACAGACGAACAGACGGACAGACAGAAAGAGAGACAGAGAGACAGAGAGACGAAGGGACAGAGAGACAGAGAGACAGACAGCCAGCAAGACCAGCCCAGACAGACAGACCAGACAGAGAGACAGATAGACAGAGCGACAGAGCGACAGACGGACAGAGAGACAGAGAGACAGAGAGACAGGGAGACAGGGAGACAGAGAGACAGAGAGACAGACAAACAGACGGACCAGACGGACGGACGGACGGACAGACAGCCAGACAGCCAGACAGCCAGACAGACAGATGGAGAGAGAGAGAGACAGACACGGAGTAACAAAGAGAGAGAGAGAGATAGAGAGAGAGAGAGATAGGGAGGTAGATTGAGAAAGTTGAGATAGAGAGTCAGAGAGATAGATACTACAACTACACTTGCCACTACAACTACGGTAGAGATAGATAGACAAAAAATTGACCGAGGGAAGGAGAGAGAGACACAGAGAGAAGGAGACAGAGAGAGAGATAGAGAGATGGAGACTCAGAGCCTCAGCCACCTTTTGGTACATCAGTGGGTTAGCTCTGACCTCCATGCATCACAACAACTCACCTCTCCTATAAGTTTCCTGTTTTCGAAACTTCCGCCACCGCTCTGCAACACAAGCAACACAAAAGAGAGGAGTTGCCCCAGTACCATTTGTCATTAAATATTCTCCGGAGGGTTTGTCCGTGCAGTCTTTTGTGAGCCAGCCGAGATGCAAAAAACAGGAAGAAGAAGGCCCACATGGCATCAATTTCGATTAAAGGGTAGATGACGTCTTCCCAGCTGACTCCTCCCGCGATGCTCATAAACAGAGTCAACATGATCTCAGGCAGAGATCGAAAATACTTCTCGCCAATGGCTTCAGCTGCCTTGTCTGGATCCAGCGAAGCATCATGCACAGCTTGGGCAAATAGAATGGCAAATACATATATAATCAGAGCGAGCAAAGTTAAAGCCCAGAACAATGCCTTCAGTGTATGTGCGATGGAAGTGACTAAGGTCCGTAGGGCCAGCACAAAACGAACAATACGCACCAGGCGGACCGTCTTCACCACTTTGCTGAGGCGTATGATCCGGAAGACTTTGAAGCCAGTGATATTCTGACTGGCGCCTTGCGCCTCTGAAACAAGATCGAGGACAATCTCGATGATGGAAGTAATCACAATACACGCATCTAAATAGTTCCACATGCAGTCTTCTGAATAGAAGAAGCTGCGTCCACCAGCTAGTATGCGCCCAAGTAGTTCCAAGGTGAATGCAACCGCAAAGGAATAGTTCGCAATCCGAATGGTGGACGGAGAAAGCCAATTCCCGGACATGTTGGATTGAGCCTCCAAACCGATGAAAATGGCGTTGACAAAGACCACCACTGCGAAAAAAACGTCGAAGGCAGGATGGAGAACCACATGTTGGACTTTCTGAATGGCTTCTTTGGAAGAGAGCACAGAAGCTCCCAACACTTGGTCCATTCCTTCGGAAACGCAGAGTTAGACAAGGAATGTGTTAGGAACCAAAAGAAGCAATGCGGTGTTTTTTGGGACATCCCTTTTTTGCAGTAAGGGTTTCCAGAACAAGTGAGGGCATCAGATAAAAAGGCACCATCATGTACCTCAAAAATGCCGTCAAATCTGGGCCAAAAACTGTACTCACTTGGCGCATCGTTCCGCAGAAATTGTGAGTGAATCGCTCCTGGTGCAGCAAGATTTGACTCCGTATTCTGCTGACGAAAAATGCAGTTGCCCTTTCTTACTGGTGTTTCTTTCTGCGGAATTGTGGTAGTGTCTAGCGCAGCTATCACTTCCATGTGTATGAAAATAACAGCATGGCACCCTTACTTACAGCAGGACATGACGATTGGGGTGGATAAAGGGTACAAAATTTACAGGCAAACCGATTTTGTTTAAATGTGAGGGAACGATATCCTGCAAAATTCCGCCAAAATCTGCCAGGACTCGCAGCGAGGCGTATTTTCTGCGGCTGGTCTCGGTATGGGCGGCGTGAGCGTCTGCCTGGACTCAGCTGAGGTTTGCGAAATGGTCGGCTATGGCTCACGACACCCCAACAACGACAAAATATTTACACTTGAGAATATCCAACCTAATCCAGGATCCAAACCATGGCAATTTGATTGCTGGCACGTCCCCAAGACTGTATTGAGGAGAACATCTACTGACAAAAGCTCCTGACAAAAACCTCTACATGATCTTCATCAAAGGAAGATTGAAAGTCTAACTTCCGTGTAACGGATTATCACAATATCACCAGTATCACAACATCACCACTATCACCACTATCACAACATCACCACTATCACAATATCACCACGATCACAACATCACCACTATCACAGTACCCACTATATCACCACTACCACAATGTCACCACTATATCACCACTATATAACCACTATCACAATATCACCACTACCACAATATCACAACTATATCACCACTAACACAATATCACCACTATCACAAGATCACCGCTAGATCACCGCTATCACAATATCACCACTATATCACCGCTATCACAATATCACCACCATCACATGTCTCGGGCGAAGGCTTCGTTTTCACATCCTCAACTTTTACACTTTTTGAGAGATGTCTCGCACGAAAGCTTCGTTTTCACATCTTCAACTTTCAGATTTTGAAGGATGTCCCGCACGAAAGCTTCGTTTTCACATCGTCTACTATCACTTGTGGAGAGATGTCTCGCACGAAAGCTTCATTTTCACATCTTCCACTTTCAGATTTTGAAGGATGCCCCACACGAAAGCTTCGTTTTCACATCGTCTACTATCACTTGTGGAGAGATGTCTCGCACGAAAGCTTCATTTTCACATCTTCCACTTTCAGATTTTGAAGGATGTCCCGCACGAAAGCTTCGTTTTCACATCGTCTACTATCACTTGTGGAGAGATGTCTCGCACGAAATCTTCGTTTTCACATCTTCCACTTTCACTTTTGGAAGGAAGTCTCGCACGAAAGCTTCGTTTTCGCATCTTCCGCTTCCAGATTTTGAGGCAAATCTGCGCTGCGCGTAGTTCTATTGTGTTTTGCAACTCAGTCTCTGCAGATCGGATTGTAATGGCTGCGTCAAGGTTGCTTGGAGCTGCAGCTGTGAGCGTAGTATATTGTCTTTTGCAGCTCGACATCGTAAATCGTATTGGAGTTGCTGCATCATGGCTGCAATAGCGATTTGTCAGCAGGTTTTCTCAATTTTAGCGGTGGTGATTTTCCTTTTAAAAATCTTCTTAAAAAGTGCTTCAAAATCGTCTCTTTTTTGCTTTGGCGTCGAGATCCATCCGGTTTTGGAGCTGCAATTTCTGGCGCCGTTGCGCGTAATTATATTGTGTTTTGCGACTCAGTCTTTGCACATCGCATTGTAATGGCTGCGTCAAGGTTGCTTGGCGCCGCGGCTGCGTACGTAATACTATCGTCTTTTGCAGCTGGACATCGTAAATCGTATTGGAGTGGCTGCATCAAGGCTGTGATAGTGATTTGTTAGCAGTTTTTTTCAGAGCACCCGCAGCTTGGGTATGACTTTTGGCGCTGACGCTGACGACGCATTGCGACGACACATTGGCGATGACCCCCGCCCATCCTGACGACGCATTGTGACGACACATTCCCTGACGACGCATTGCCCCCTGACGACGCATACACTGTTTGGAAAATATGCGCGCTTGTAGAGACTAAGGAGATACATGGGCCGTCCCAGATGGGGTAACGCATGTGCATCTATCATTTCATCTCAAATTATCACAGGCCCTAAATTCCACACAAATTATCAAGATGAAGCATTTTATGGTGAACAGGGCGCAAAGTTGGACCCAGATCCATGGTGCCTTAAGACCCAAGTCGAAGGCGGTGAAACTTTGGAAAAGGTTCGGCGAAGAGGTCTGGAGCCTGGGGGAGTTTCCACTCAAGACGGTGTCCACAGCCTGGCACCAAATGGGTTGAAAGGCTAGTAGATCAACACAGTGTGTGTACGCATATCCATCTATCGATCTAGTCTAATCTAATCAATGCAAATAAATATACAAATAAAATAAAAATTAAAGGACCGGATAACCCCACAAGGCAACTTCTTCCAATAATGAGCGCCAAAGGTTGTAGCAGGGACGGAGAAGGAAGGAAAGGCAAAGGAGGTGGTGAAGGATCGAAAAGTTAAAACAGTTGTGTGTGACAAAGTCGAATGTGAAAGATGGTGTGTGACGAAGGAAGATGGTGTGTAGGTGTGTGACAAAGCAGGGTGTGAAATATGGTGTGTGTGAAAGTTGTGTGTGAAAGAGAGCGTGTGACAAAGTTGTGTGTGAAAGAGAGCGTGTGACAAAGTTGTGTGTGAAAGATGGTGTGTGACAAAGTGGTGTGTGAAAGATGGTGTGGCGAAAGATGATGTGTGACAAAGTTGTGTGCGAAAGATGGTGTGGTGAAAGATGGTGTGTGACAAGGTTATGTGTGAAAGATGGTGTGGTGAAAGATGGTGTGTGACAAAGTGGTGTGTGAAGGATGGTGTGGTGAAAGATGGTGTGTGAAAGATGGAGTGTTACAAAGATGGTGCGTAAAAGAGGGTGTGTCAAAGATGGTGTGTGTCAAAGTGGTGTGTGAAAGATGGTGTGTCAAAGATAGTGTGTGACAAAGTTGTGTGTGAAAACTAGTGTGGTGACAAAGTGGTGTGTGGAAGAGGGTGTGGTGAAAGATGGTGTGTGACAAAGTGGTGTGTGAAAGATGGTGTGTGACAAAGTGGTGTGTGAAAGATGGTGTGTCAAAGATGGTGCCACACCTGCCACGCAAAACGAAGGTGGATGTGAGATTGTGCCACGCCTGCCACGTGAAACGAACGTAGATGTCACCAAGTGCCAGGCCTGCCACGCAAAGTGCCGCGGCGTCACGCGCGACCAAACCAGACCCAAGCGCGCCACGGAGTGCCATGAGTGCCACGCCTGCCATGCGAAACGAAGGTGGATGTAAGATTGTGCCACGCCTGCCACGTGAAACGAAGGTGGATGTAAGGTTGTGCCACGCCTGCCACGCAAAATGCCGCGGCGTCACGCGCGCCCAAACCAGACCCAAGCGCGCCGCGGAGTGCCATGAGTGCCACGCCTGCCACGCGAAACGAAGGTGGATGTAAGATTGTGCCACGCCTGCCACGTGAAACGAAGGTGGATGTAAGGTTGTGCCACGTCTCCCACGCAAAATGCCGCGGCGTCACGCGCGCCCAAACCAGACCCAAGCGCGCCACGGAGTGCCATGAGTGCCACGCCTGCCATGCGAAACGAAGGTGGATGTAAGATTGTGCCACGCCTGCCACGTGAAACGAAGGTGGATGTAAGGTTGTGCCACGCCTGCCACGCAAAATGCCGCGGCGTCACGCGCGCCCAAACCAGACCCAAGCGCGCCACGGAGTGCCATGAGTGCCACGCCTGCCAGGCGAAACGAAGATGGATGTAAGATTGTGCCACGCCTGCCACGTGAAACGAAGGTGGATGTAAGGTTGTGCCACGCCTGCCACGCAAAATGTCGCGGCGTCACGCGCGCCCAAACCAGACCCAAGCGCCACGGAGTGCCATGAGTGCCACGCCTGCCACGCGAAACGACGGTGGATGTAAGATTGTGCCACGCCTGCCACGTGAAACGAAGGTGGATGTAAGGTTGTGCCACGCCTGCCACGCAAAATGCTGCGGCGTCACGCGCGCCCAAACCAGACCCAAGCGCGCCACGGAGTGCCATGAGTGCCACGCCTGCCACGCGAAACGAAGGTGGATGTAAGATTGTGCCACGCCTGCCACGTGAAACGAAGGTGGATGTAAAGTTGTGCCACGCCTGCCACGCAAAATGCCGCGGCGTCACGCGCGCCCAAACCAGACCCAAGCGCGCCGCGGAGTGCCATGAGTGCCACGCCTGCCACGCGAAACGACGGTAGATGTGAGTTTGTGCCACGCCTGCCACGCAAAACGATGGTAGATGTGAGTTTGTGCCGCGCCTGCCACGCAAAATGCCGCGGCGTCACGCACGCCCAAACCAGACCCAAGCGCGCCACGGAGTGCCATGAGTGCCACGCCTGCCACGCGAAACGAAGGTGGATGTAAGATTGTGCCACGCCTGCCTGACAAAGTTGTGTGTGCGGAGTGTGTGTGAAGTTATGGTATGTTAAGTTTGTGTGTGTGTGTGTGTGAAGTTATTGTATGTGAGAGATGGTATGTGACAAAGTTGTGTGTGTGTGTGTGAGTGTGTGTGAAGTTATTGTATGTGAAGTTTGTGTGTGTGAAGTTACTGTATGTGAGAGATGGTATGTGACAAAGTTGTATGTGTGTGAGTGTATTGTATGTTAAGTTTGTGTGTGTGAAAGTATTGTATGTTAAATTTGTGTGTGTGAGGTTATGGTATGTGACATGTGTGGAGGTGAAATTATTGTATGTTAGTTATTGTATGTGAGAGATGGTATGTGACAAAGTTGTGTGTGTGAGTGTGTGTGACATGTGTGGAGGTGAAATTATTGTATGTTAAATTTGTGTGTGTGAAGTGTGTGTGTGTGGATGTGACATGTGTGGAGGTGAAATTATTGTATGTTAAATTTGTGTGTGTGAAGTTATGGTATGTGACAGGCGGGAGGAGGCGGCGGAGGAGGCGGAGCCCGGGATACAGAATCAAAAACAAGAACCCCACACAAAGTTGTGGGGAAACATATAAATAAAATCATATATAAAAACATAAATCAATCAAGAAATAAAAGACAAATAAACAAATAAATCCGCCCGCACCGAAGGTGCTGGGGCGTGATCGTCCGGATGGCACTCGTAAAAGGTTACAGGTTTACCTGGGGGGGGGGGGCCCATTATTCGGCCAAAACCTCCTGTTTTTGATAGGTCGTGACGCTCGCCTTCAAAAAACACTGTAAAAAACAGTACGGAAGACACCTGTTCGTGAACGCGCCCGTCCAAAATCGGCAAGCGAAAAGTGAAAAAACCCCGTGTTTTTCAACTTTTTGACCTCAATTTTTTGGTTTGCAACATCTTTTTTTGCGGTTCCGCAGGTGGCCTGGCCCGGAGGCGGATTTTTGAGTTTTTGGACCCGTTTTCGGACTGATTTTCGTCGTTTTGTGATAGCAGAAACACTGGTTTTTACAGTGTTTTTCTGTTTTCTGCATGCTTGACGGCTAGCTTCAAAACTTCCAAAAACCTCGTAAATTACGCTGTTTTATGTTACGGTGTGAATGAAAACATCGTAAATACCAGTGTTTTTTGACGTTGGTTAAAAAACCACTGTAAATTACAGTGTTTTTGGCCACCTGACCCTCAAAAACCATGGTATTTGCAGTGGTTTCTGCTTCTCACCGCGCAAAAACACTGTAAATAACAGCAATTTCGCCGTTTTTTCATGTTTTTCGTTATTTTTTGAACTGCGTTGGTCCGCTATACATGGCTATCAAATTCTTCGCGTTTTTTTTTCCGACAATCAGTACTTTCGGATGTTTTTGGTCTCAATGGCCGACATCATTGGCAGTTACGAGCGGTCGCGAAGGTGTGAGAACAACATCGTTCAAACCGTGGCGGCCGCACAGGGGTTCTTGTCGCGGAGCGACGGCAATAGAAGAGAACAATGGCAGTAGAAGAGAACAATGGCTGACATCATTAACAGTGTGGACCGTTCACTCGATATGTACATATATGATCTTTATATATATAGATATATCTCTGCTGTGTGAGCCCAACGATGCGGTGCGGGCGGTTGCCGTCGCGAAGCGACGTGAATAAACAAATACATAAACAAATAAATAAACAAAAAAATAAACAAATAAATAAATACATAAATAAATAAATGAATGAATAAAAGATAGATTTAGATAAATCAGTAGTACCGCACAAGGCAATGGCGGAAGTTTCAAAAATAGGACACTATAGGAGGGGCGAGTTGTTGTGATGCATGGATGGCAGTGCGAATCCGCTGATGGACCGAAAGGTGGTTGGAGTTGTGCTTTTTGGAATGCTCACCCACAACTGCTAGATGTAGTGTGGCGTGGTGTAGCGTAGTTGTAGCTGTAGCTGTAGTTGCAGTGTATTGTAGTGGTAGTGGTAGTGGTAGCTGTAGCGCAGATGAAGTTACTGAAACCAGTTTCAGCCGGGTAAAATAGCGCCAAGCATGAACCAATGATTTCAAGGCATCAGGGAACCAATGAAGCAAGGAATCAGCTAGCCATTGAACCAGTGAATCAATAATTCAATGAATCGATGAACGAACGAATCAATGAATCAGGGAATCAATGAACCACTGAATCAATGAATCTGAGTCAATGAATCAATGATGTCAATGTGAATCAATCCATGAATCTGTGAGCCAATGATTCAATGATTCCATTGAATCAGTAAACCAAAAAAATCAATGAATCGATCAATCAACAAATCAACGCATCAGTGAATCAATGAAACATTGAAGCGATGAATCAATGAATCCAGAATCAATGACTCAATGAAGCAGTGAATCAGCTAATCCATGAATCAATGAAATAATCAATGAATCAATGAATAGATGGATCAATGGGTCAATGAACCAATGAATGAGTGAAGCAATGAATCGACGAATCCATGAATGAACGAATGAACGGGTAGAAAGATGAATGAATGGGCGGATAGTGAGTGAGGTACTTCTTTGTTGAGCTACTTCTGAACTGAGCGACCTCTTCGCTCAACCATCTTTTCTCTCAGCTACTTCTTCTCTGAGCAGTCTCTTATCGGGGACACTTCTTCGCTTTCCTGCAACCCGAGTCTTTTCTTCGCACAACGTTCGCACGGGGACTTCACCACACAGATCCGGGGCCGATCGGGACGCCTCAGTTTTTTACATTTCTTTTTTTGCAAAATCGAGCTCTCACTAGCACTTTTCCGACCTCATCTGTCACAAGTGCTCCAATCCCTTCAGTTTCTGAACACTTTCAAACGCAAATGGAGCTCTCGCTACAGTACTGTGCGCTTCTTGTCGACAACTTTCCCAGATCGAGGCCCGCAGCCGCCGAAACACAGACCCTACTTCTGCGACCCCCAGCCACGATGTCCGAAAAAACGCACGGTTCCAGCCCCTAGAGCGTTTGCACTCGTGAATTCACACGCTTCCGAACTGTTAAACCTCCCAGCTACTTGATGATGGGTGGTTGACATGATGGATGATGTGCTTGACAGGATGATGCGGTTGACATGATGGCGGAAATGCTGACCATGACAACCGTCCGTACTCGGAAGTTCTTTAACTAAACTTCCTTTGACGATTACATAGACTTACAACAATATTTTTCATGAGTTTTTTCCCCGACAGCATATGTGTTTCCTTTGACGTCAGTTTCAAACAACATATCACGTGGCAAAGTGGCAAGGTACCACGCACAAGGTCGCTGGTGCTGCAATTTCCGATGTCAGGAACACAAAAACACCTGAGAATGATGTTTGTCAAAAAATAATATCTGCAACATGTCGTGCTTACAATTGTATGGTTTGTTTTTATCTTACTGGCAATTCAATATCAATTCATCTTCAGATCTGTTTGTCCTGAAATGTGTCATCTATGATATTGTCTGGGTAAGCGTGGCAGTTTTCACTTCTGGCCATCTAGTGTATCCGTTTTAATTTGAACGCACCACTTGTGCCAATGATTATTTTGTCCATATTCCTTTGGACAACATCTTCGAGTTTCATCATTCAAGGGTCGACATTTACAACATGCCAAGTGGTGTTGAGATGATGCTTCGAGCCTAGCCTTCTGTAGGTAAGAAACTATGCACTGGACATCATATGCAACCGCTTTGCAGAAACAACCACTGGTGACATCTTCAACCCTGTACTTATTTTTTTCAAGCCCAGCGAATATTTTCTTTGAAAGCGCCGACTTTGAAGTACATCTAAGTCCCGCTGGAGTGAAGTTTCAAGATGTACTGGAGAATTTCGCTGCATGACCTTCCTTCTGTGTTTTGAATCATATGTCAATGTGTGTGTATATATACATATATGACCTCCATATGCATATATATATATATGTATGTATGTATGTATGTATGTATGTATGTATCTATGTATGCATGCATGCATGCATGTATAGAATCATACATGTCGTTGTCCTGTGCTTGCAAAACGACACTCTCGCCTCCCCTGCCTCCCGACTGTCCACACTCCTAGGACTTCGCAAAGCATCTTTCATTCTGCTGACGCCGCTGACATTCGAAGTTCTCGAGTGCACTGACACCACGGACGCTTCCGAAGGCACAGTCAGCTTTCGGTTCAAAAGCCTCGGACGGCAATCGGCTGGTGCCATTCCGGCATGGTCTGGCGATGCTGTGACCTATGACTTGCTATGACCTGCTGGAATCGCTGATGGTTTATGAATTTCAACCCACCGATGATGGAAAAAGTACCAGAACTGGCCAGAAGATATGTCCTGACCTTCCATGTGATTTCGTTGCACCAAAATCACCTGCCAACCATTCCTCCCATCAAGCCGTCCATTAATTACATCACCGTAGGCCCCAAACAGCGGGTGGATTCATGAAATAGCAGCGACAGGAATGGTGAAAATGTCGGCAATAAGTGCCGGAGACCACTTTATATACGTTTATTTTGTTCGGCTTTGCTTGCTTTATTGCAACGCTAGATGCCAAAAAACGATGAAGGAAACATCCGATGAGGGTGCAACTATTTGGATCCAAACGCTCGAATCAAGCAGCAAAGGACTGTCAAATTGGATGTGTTGAAAACATCGAAGGATGAAAGTGAAAGATGACACCATTCTCAATCCCGGAGCTCTGTGAACTTTAGAGTCTGCACAATTCTCGGCGTGCGATAAGTTTAGCTGGGAGACTTGGGAGAGACAAGCTGGGAGACAAGCTGGGAAACAAGGGGGAAAAGGCCTCGGCAAGACGGACACACCATCCAACAAAGGGAAGCAAGAAGGAAGACAAGCTGGGAGACAAGCTGGAAGACAAGCTGTGAGACAAGGGAGACAAGACCTTGGGAAGGTGGGCGCACCATCCAACAAAGGGAAACAAGAAGGGAGACAATGGGAGACAAGGGAAGGCGGACACACCATCCAACAAAGGGAAACAAGAAGGGAGACAAGTTGGGAGACACGGGAGACAAAGCCTCGTGAAGGCGGACACACCATCCAACAAAGGGAAACAAGAACAAAGACAAGATGGAAGACAAGCTGGGAGACAAGGCCTCGGGAAGACGCACGCACCATCCAAGAGGGGGAAACAAGAATGGAAACAAGCTGGGAGACAAGCTGGTAAGGGAGGCAAGGGAGACAAGGCCTCGGGAAGGCGGACACCAAAGGGAAACAAGAAGGAAGACAACCTGACAAGCTGGGAGACAAGCTGGGAGACCAGCTGGGAGACAAGCTGGGAGACAAGCTGGGAGACAAGGGAGACAAGGCCTCGGGAAGACACACCATCCAACAAAGCAAAACAAGAAGGGAGACGATGGGAGACAAGGGGGAAGGCGGACACACCATCCAACAAAGGGAAACAAGAAGGGACACAAGGGGAGACAAGGCCTCGGGAAGGCGGACACACCATGCGACAAAGGGAAACAAGAACAAAGACAAGCTGGGAGGCAAGCTGGGAGACAAGACCTCGGCTCGGGAAGGCGGGCACACCATCCAACACAGGCACACATGTGGGGAGACCATGGGAGACAATGGGAGGCAAGAGGAGACAAGACCCCGGGAATCCAACACAGGCACACATGTGGGGGGGACAATGGGAGACAATGGAAACAACGGGAGACAAGACCTCCGGAAGGCGGACACACCACCCGACAAGGGGAGGCAAGACCTGGGGAAGGCGGGCACACAAGACAAAACCTTGGGAAGGCGCGCAAACCATCCAACACAGGCACACATGCGGGAAGACAATGGGAGACAACGCCAGTCTCGGGAAGGGGGACGCACCATCCAACACAGACACACATGTGGGGAGACAATGGGAGACAAGGGGAGAAAAGACTTCGGGAAGGCAGACGCACCATCCAACAAAGGGAAACAAGAAGGGAACAATGGGAGACAAGACCTCGGGAACGCGGAGACACCATCCAACACAGGCACACATGCGGAGAGACAATGAGAGACAATGGGAGGCAATGGGAGACAAGACCTCGGGAAGGGCCCGGTTTCCGCCTTCTCTTACTCCTCCCCCTCCTCCGCCCGCCTCCTCCTCACACACAACTTACTCACACACAACTTCCTCACGCACAACTTGTCCACACACAACTTGTCCACACACAACTTACTCACACAGAACTTCCTCACACACACAACTTGTCCACACACAACTTACTGACACACAACTTCCTCACACACACACACAACTTACTCACACACACACGCAACTTACTCACACACACAACTTGCTCACACACAACTTGTCCACACACAATTTACTCACACACACACACAACTTCCTCACACACAACTTGTCCACACACAACTTAATGACACACAACTTCCTCACACACACAACCTCCTCACACACACCTTACTCACACACAACTTGCTCACACACACACACAACTTGTCACACACACACAACTTACTCACACACACAACTTGTCCACACACAACTTACTAACACACAACTTCGTCACACACACACAACTTACTCACACACAACTTGCCCACACACACACAACTTACTCGCACACAACTTACTCGCACACAACTTGCTCACACACAACTTATCCACACACAACTTACTCACGCACACACACAACTTACTCACACACAACTTACTCACACAACTTGTCCACACACGACTTACTCACACACACAACTTGCTCACACACAACTTTCTCACAGACACACACAACTTGGCACTTGGCGACATCGCCCTTCACTTTGCGTGGCAGGCGCGGCACTTGGCGAAATCGACCTTCACTTTGCGTTGGGCTGGCTCTGGTGGCGCGCTTGGGTCTGGCAGTCGCCGCGGCAGTTGGCATGGCAGGCATGGCGCTTGGTGACATCGACCTTCACTTTGCGTGGCAGGTGTGGCACTTGGCGACATGGACCTTCACTTTGCATGGCAGGCGTGGCACTTACGGCACTGGGCTGGCTCTGGTGGCGCGCTTGGGTCTGGCGGGCGCCGGGGCTGTTTGCGTGGCAGGCGTGGCACTTGGTGACATCGACCTTCACTTGGAGACAAGGGAAGACAAGACCTCGGGAAGGCGGACAAACCATCCAACACAGGCATACATGTGGGGAGACAATGGGAGACAAGGGGAGACAAGACCTCGGGAAGGCGGACACACCATCCAACGCAGGCACACATGTGGGGGGACAATGGGAGACAAGGGGAGACAAGACCCCGTGACGGGGGACACACCATCCAACACCAAGGCGGACACCTTAAGAAAGCATTAAGAACCCGTAACAGTACACTGTTTGCGGAAAAACTCAGTTCCTCAACCGGAACGGAACCCCGAAACAATCGGAAACATATTGTTTGGTATTTGTTGGTGAATTACATCCAACATATATCACCATCATATTCCCACCAAAATTCCCTTTATCCTCACCAGAACGTCTTTGTCACGAAAGGAAGCTGTTGCAGAAGCTTCTCGTGACGATCCAACTTCTTCACAAGCTCCAGGTGGCATTGCCAGACCAAGTTGGTACACCGTGCACACTCCGACTCCGATGCCTTTGGAGCGAAATCGTGGCTTGGGGACCTCAAAAATTGATATATGGTTGATATGGCTAAAGGTTTTCCCTGAAACTGGACTATGATCACTTTTCCTTACCCACTGACCAAACTTTGAAGGGTTTTTGCTACTCCATTTTCAGACGCATTCATAATCGTTCGTGTGCATAAATGATTTGCCCCTCAGCAGACTGTCAGACTGGGGATGCAAATTTGGGGAGATGGTTGTACAAACAAATATGGTTGGTTGACTGATACTAGATGGTGTAGGGAGCAAGTGCTAGTTGGACAATAGTGGATCATGAAGCTGTTGGTCGTTGATAAGTTGGCCGGTTGACAAAACGGCTGGGATGCTGAATGAAGTATTAGTATTCTGTTAAGACCAGTTTGAACCTTTCACTTTTTGTTTGACTTCGGGATTCCAAGCACTGTATGGCGAGAAATACCATCCCGATTGAAGAGGATGGCCATCCATTTCACTTCCGTGGGTCTCCCTGCAATCTACAAATCCACAGATGACATGCGTGGCAATAGGGTGCCTCTCAAAGTCTGATACTAATTGCTATCCTCAACTGACGAACATCTTGCTGGTTGAGAGCAGGGTGCCCACATTTGACTAATTCATAATGAGAAATGAAATCAATATGAAAGCAATATAAACACCAGGTTTTCGAGCATCAAACAACGGTCGGACGGCCTGTTCACGCGCGGCCGACTTGGTTTGTCATCTTTGCTGAGTCAGAAGTTTGGCTAGTTGAACAAGAAGTCAGCTAACATCCCCCCCACCCCAGCGTGGCGTAGCATCAACAACGTGAGCAAGTTACATGGAACGTTAACATCCCCGCCCCCACCCCAGCGTGGCGTAGCATCAACAACGTGAGCAAGTTACATGGAACGCTAACATCCCCCCCACCCCAGCGTGGTGAGCAAGTTAGCATCCCCCCCACCCCAGCGTGGCGTAGCATCAACAACGTGAGCAAGTTACATGGAACGTTAACATCCCCCCCACCCCAGCGTGGCGTAGCATCAACAACGTGAGCAAGTTACATGGAACGTTAACATCCCCCCCCACCCCAGCGTGGCGTAGCATCAACAACGTGAGCAAGTTACATGGAACGTTAACATCCCCCCCACCCCAGCGTGGCGTAGCATCAACAACGTGAGCAAGTTACATGGAACGTTAGCATCCCCCCCACCCCAGCGTGGCGTAGCATCAACAACGTGAGCAAGTTACATGGAACGCTAACATCCCCGCCCACCCCAGCGTGGCGTAGCATCAACAACGTGAGCAAGTTACATGGAACGTTAACATCCCCCCACCCCAGAGTGGCGTAGCCCCACAACCGTGCGTGGCGTAGCATCAACAACGTGAGCAAGTTACATGGAACGCTAACATCCCCCCCCACCCCAGCGTGGCGTAGCATCAACAACGTGAGCAAGTTACATGGAACGTTAACATCCCCCCCCTGTACCATCAGTTACATCAGTTGTTCCTGCCCCCTCCCCTCCCCCCCCAGGGCAGCATTGTACAGAAGCAGAAAACACTGTAAAAAACAGTACAAAATGCACATTCAGCAGTGTGTGTGTGTGCGCGTGAACACCCCGTCGGAGGGAACAACCATCATCTAAGTATGATGCCAATTACATCCCCATTTTTGATGGCTAACAGGTGCCTCGCGCAGATCTTCGCTCCACAGGTGTCCTGTCGGCGCTTTTCGCAAGATGTTTCAGCCAGTTCACTGCCGGGTTTGGTTGCTACTTGGAAGTGTAGTTGAGGATATTCATGGGTACAACCACAATAAACACCCTCACAAGTTGGGATATAACCCCTACAACTATGGTTACGCATCCAATTCTCTAATAACAACGGTTAGAAACCAAGACTTTGATTTCAGTGTTAGTGACCTGGGTACCTTTTGGCCTTTTCAGCTCTTGACTCTTTTTGATCATGGTGCCACGCCTGAAACTTGCAATGCTTCGAGCTTAAGCACCTACTGAACTATATGTTTTTTTGTGTCATCCTCTGAAAAGAACACGTTTCACAAGACAACATTTCGAACTATTTTGCGCATTAACAACAAACAAACAAGCAAACAAACAACTAACTAGCTAAATATGTATATAAATAAATAACAATGTATATATATATATATATGTATATGTATAAATATAAATAGAGTAAAAGACGTTGAAATCATCCAATTTCAATTTTGAACATTGAAACCATGGCCTGGTCTGACCCACGCTGCGCTGGCTCGCGCGCTGCGCCTGGACGGGCAGTACGACTTTGGTGTGGTGCTTCCACCATCTCCTCCTGGATGGCCCAACAGGAAATCCATGTTTTTCTCCATGTTTTCTTCATGTTTTCATGATAATTTTAGGAATTATTGAATTATCAACCAATTGGTGAATTGGTTTGATAGTGTTTGATTTTCTGATGATTGGTTTATCCTTGAGGCAGCAACATTGGGCTAATCATCAAACTATTCTTGGGTTTAGTCTACATGTATTGTGAACCACAACTAGCGCTGCTTATCTCATGGTTTATAACCTAGCTAAGACTTGTTTGGTACAAACCATACCCACATGGTTGAATGTGGTAAACCATGGTAAACCCAATCATCAAGGGGCTTCGTTTGTGCCGTTCCATCGTTCCATGTCGTGTTTTTGTGGAGTCTACAGATGTCTACAGTATACACATTTGTTCTTCAGCCAAGCCAGCGGCGTCCTCTGCTGGCAAACAAAGCTGCAAATCTTCCATGGCCACGGGGTTAGTAGAACCCTCGCGGAAAACGCGTTTGCCGTTGCAGTTTTGTGAGAGATCTGTCATGGGGCACCCTGATCTGCTTTAGAACATGATTTCCTGGTAAAATCACCATAAATATGGGAAACTTACGGTAACTCTATTGCTGACATTTCCAGCTCTCCTTCATACCTCAGAGGCTTGGAGCCAAACCGGCAGCACCCGACCTTCGATCTAGCAGCTTCTAGCATACACAGGGATATCACAAGGATTCTCCATTAATTTGAATCATATTGGGATTTTGTCAATTCAATAGATGACATAAATCTCACACGTCGTGGCCCTAGGGGGGTGCTTTTTTCGTGCCGCCATAGCTTATGGTGGTTTGACCAATGCAGCCTTTGGCTATGACTTGCAGCTGGGCCCAAAATATCATTCACGCGCAAAAACCTGAATTCGAGGGGTTGACATATAAATATATATATATGTATATGTGTATATATATATATATATTTGTTTATATATACATATTATACACAACTTATGGCACAAGATTGAAGTCCAAGGTTGACGTTTTTCTTTGGTTAAGTTAATGTTTTGTTTCCCCTATTGTTTATATTAGGAATAGTGGAACCGA